GGTTGGGGGGGGGGGGGGGGGGGGGGGGGAGGAGTAGTGTAGGGTGTATGTGTGTACTTGTGGATTTCTGTTTTAGTCCACAATTTTTCTGTGAATGTCATGGATCCAATTTTTTTTTTCCTCCAGTTGCTGTTGTTTGTTATAATATAGAATATTTTGGGATTGCTGCAAATGGGAGCTCAAATACAGAGGAACATATTTATCAAAGAGTTACAGTGATGGCTACAGTGCTAATTCAAGTATGACAGATGATGAACTAAGGTCTAGCATACTTATTGAGTATATCTATATTAATGATTTAGTGCACTTCGAGGGATTCTTTGTAAGGTGTGATTTTTGTATGGTGTCTGCTTTCTTGTTTCAAATGAAGAAAGCTATTGTTCCGTGCATAGATCTCTTCTTGATCTGGTTAGATATCTGTTGTAGTTGAAGCCTAAGTAGCTCGTATTTTGCTTCTTGGTAGATGGGAGATGCACAACTGTTAAGTAAGCAGTGTTCTAGTTGACTGGTAGGTTGAGGGAGTGGTGTTGTGTGTGGGTGTGTTGGGTTTTTGTTGGTTTTGGTTTGGTTGGTTTTTTTTTTTTTCCTTAAGATTTCCTTTTGTGGAGAATCTAGATGGACACAAAAAGTGCTAGCTCACTTTTTGTTTGCATGTTTCTCAGTATTAATTAGACGAAGCACCTCCTTAAGCAATTATTTTATGTGCATTTTTACTAGATATTTCCATCTTATTAAAGTAGTTCTTTATTCATACTTATAGTCATACATATGACCAGTGGCGTATGTTGTTGTACTGACACAAATGGAAAGAAGCTGAACCCTGGGTTTTTGGAGGGGTTTTGTGTTCGTTTTTTCCATTAAGTGTTGTTCTTAATTTACCAGCGGACCCTACAAGTTTTGCTTCCTGACCTTGCAGCCAAGGCTAGTCCTGCAGCCTCCACACTTATTCGAACCATAGCAAAACAGCTGAATGTAAACCGAAGAGAGATTTTAATTAATAACTTCAAATACATCTTCTCTCATTTGGTCTGTTCGTGCTCCAAGGATGAGCTTGAGCGGGCACTTCACTACCTCAAGGTAAATTGGCATTTGTTTTATTATACATGCAGATTAGGAGCAACAATTGATGAATAGTGAGCTTTCTGCTTTATTTAAGGTATTGCAAAGCATAGCTGGGTAAATTGTATATGCAGAAGTTTTGTTCTTGTTATTTATAATCTGTTCTATTGGCTCTGAGGAACTGTTGCAAGATATTCTGCAAACTTAAAAACCCATCTTATCTAGCATTAAGCTGATTGGAAGCTTTTTCTTTGATTTCTGTGGTAAATCAACCAGAGTCCAATGCGTCCTGTCTCTCAGTGTGCTAGTTCCATTGTGATGAAATGAAGACTTGGCTTCTGTTTGCAATTTGATTATAGAACGAGACCGAGATAGAACTGGGCAGCTTGCTGAGACAGGACTACCAGGGACTGCATAATGAATTATTGCTGCGTATAGGAGAACACTATCAACAAGTCTTCAATGGTTTGTCAATATTGGCTTCATTTGCATCTAATGATGATCCCTATCAGGGACCTAGAGAAATAACATCACCTGAACAAATGGTAAGGACATCAAAATATTAATGTTCAGTTTTGTTCAGTAATTTTTTTCTCCAGTCTAAGAGTGAAGACAATTTGACATCCTTTGAATGCCACTTATTTGAGGCAAAAAGTGGAGAAAAGGCTGGCATTTCACATAAAGTGTTCCTGTAATGGGGAGATACATACAAAGTATGCATTTAAAAAACCAAACACCACCCCCACCAAAAAAAACCCAAACACCTCCCCACCCCTCAAACACCAAAATCCTACCAAAACAAAAAACCCCACAGCCTAATAGGGATGTCTTTCATTAACACTGATGTTTCTTAAAGAGCAGTGTATGTATTTGGGATTCTTCTCATTTATCTTTCAGAATTAGTGTTTCATAGTTGCTTTTTAATTTCTTAAGCTTAGAAATGTGTTAATAGTAAGATTATTTGGATTTTCTCCTTTTTTTTCCTTTTTTTTTTTTTTTTTTTGTTTTGTTTTTCCCCTCCACAGGCTGATTATCTGCAACCTAAATTGCTTGGTATCTTGGCTTTTTTTAATATGCAGTTACTGAGTTCCAGTGTTGGCATTGAGGATAAAAAAATGGTGCGTAACTTAATTTTTAATATTAAAACAAAGATAAGCAAGGTCTATTTTAATATTCCAGACTCATGTGATTGTGCAAGTGTCACTGAAATCTCAAAGGTACTAAAGTTCCAACATGATTCTTGAAAACTGATAGTCTCACTGTGGGTAGGACTTCTGTGTAAGCTCAAAAGTTTTTGTTTTGTTTCTTTAATGGTCAGCTGATACACATACTTCAGTCAGACATAGGATATGTAACAAGTCAGTGAACCAGTAATTATAGAGGAGGAATCCAAGTTTATGTTTTTTATGTGTGGAAGAAACAAAGTGGAGGATGAAGCAATATGGGAGAAAACTGGAGTTGCTGCAGGGAGTAGGATTATAAGGGCACCAAAGGGCAAAGCTAAAGGAAATAAGATGCAAATCCAAGAGAAACCGGGCTTTATTGGTTTTGCTTCTCACAGAACAGCTCCTTTCAGCTTTACAGTAGAGAGCATTTAGAGAAATTAGAGCTCACAACTTGGACAAAGTCTGAAAATTCTGCTCTGCTGAGGCAGTGCTTCTAACCACAAGACAGCCCTTTTAGCCACCTCATAGAGGTAGTGCAGATGATTTCTGTAGGGAATTTTTCAGTGCTAGAATGTATATAACCTTCACATTGATGGACTGCATTTTCTCTTGTGTATTTTCCAGCTTTTTGCTTCTCAGATATTAACATTGAGATGCTCTCATTTTCGTAGCCCCATGTCTTCCTGCTTTCTGAATTTCTTCATTTGTTTAGCATTTCTTCTGCTGCACCTGCTATTGTTTCTATCTTTTCTTGTTCTGTTTTTCGTTCTTGGTGAGTTTCCCTTTCCGTGATCTTTCCTCAAGCTCAGGTTTCTTCCTGTATTACTGATATGTCATGCCGGATGTTGTACTACCTTGTTTGGTACAATGTTACTGTGACTGAAATTTCTGCATCTCAGTATTTCTCTTCTGTCTTTCATCAGTCCCATTGACAACTGAGCTATTGCCTGTTCTTTGAAGCTTAATAATCACTTCTGGCAGAAGTTGTACACCAATTCTGTTGTTGGTGTTTTGTTGTTTTGGTTTTTTTTGGTTTGGCTTTTTTTATTGTGAGTTTGTTTGGTTTGTCTGTATTACCAAAACCTGCTCTTTTCAGCTTCTAAAACTCTGGACATGTAGTCAATCATGTCTTATAACAGAATTCTATAACCATGAACTCCTTTGGTGTCCACAGTTCTTCCCTCACCCATCTGTCAACAGCCTAAATAACGACTTTTTTGTTACAATACTGTCATTACAGATTCCCTTGCGTTCTCTTTTCCTTTAACCCCCAAATTCTGTATTGAAACATCAGACTGAATTTGATATCTTATAGGGTATGATTTCTTAAGCCAGGGTAGCCTGTTTTTATTAGAAAATATGGCTTGTATATGTTTTACTGAGTACCTAATACACTAAAATTACTTTTCTCTATGTCTAGGCTTTAAATAGTCTTATGTCTTTAATGAAGCTCATGGGTCCCAAACATATCAGTTCAGTAAGAGTGAAGATGATGACTACACTGAGAACAGCGCTAAGATACAAGGATGATTTTCCAGAACTGTGTTGCAGGTGAACTGATAGTGTACCCAAACAGTGACATACCTGCTATTTCTGTCCTTGAATACACTGTTTTGTTTTGTTCTAGACAATAATCTAAACCAGAGCTGAAGTAACTTCAAATGATTCTCACAACTCGCCTAAAATGTCTTTATGCAGGGAAGAATCATTGATTACTATTGTTTTGTTGTCTCTTTTTGTTTAGAGCCTGGGATTGTTTTGTTCGAAGTCTGGACCATTCATACCTCGGCTCCTTGCTTAGTCATGTGATAGTAGCATTATTGCCCCTTATACATATCCAACCAAAGGAAACTACAGCAGTATTTTACTTTCTCATAGTTGAGAACAGGTACCGTACAAAATATTTTCAGTTATATTACAGGAATGGGGATAACCCTAAACTAAAGTTGTCCAGCACTGAGATGAGAAAACTTGGTTCTCTGCAAAATAGTATGTTGTTCTATAAAATTGTCACTTCTCTAAATGGCAATGAGATTTTTAAATTTGACAAGTGATAGCCTCATCTGAAAAGGTGTTTTTATATTGTCGTTATAAAAATACATGACACTGTGGCCAAGTTACAACCCATTCAGACACTTAACCCTGCCAGGTTTTCCGATTCTGTTTTTTTTTCTGCTGGTATGGAAAATGACTTCCCTCTACATGGCACACAGACAGAATAACAGTGATTGCTAACATTTGCTCTACTCTAGAGAGAAGTATATGGAGTTGGAAATAGGGAGGAAATTAGTTTTTTATTTGTTTCCTTCAGTAATTAGAGTTATAATTATGAAGTGCACAGAATTTAATGTTGGGTAAGATTTCATACATCCTTCAGTTGGTGGTTACACCAACTGAAAATAAAATCGAAGTCTAATACAAAAGGCTTAAATTTTTGTAACTTTACCTTTTTGAAGACAATGTTGAGTCTTAATTCTTTTTCGTTTTATGTTTCGTAGCTTAAAATTATGGGGGTTTTAGGAATAGTGATAGTTTTTATCTTAATTACTTTTGGGGGGGGTTTAATTTTTCTTGCACTATATCATACCAGCACTATTGAAAATAAAAAGTGGCAATAAGAACAATAAGGCTCTTGTAGAAGTCCGTAATAGCAAAATTGAAAGAAATTCCTTCATGTTAGGAACACAGAATTCTTTTTTTAGCTGTGTGTTTTCTTTTCTTATGAGGAAAACTGGAACTGGATTCACATCAAATGGGATTATTCTCACCCTTTGGCCAGTGTCCAAAATAAGGAGAGCTGATCCTGGTAGACATGAATGGCAATTTTGAAAACTTTGGAAAGAACTGTCTTTAAAAGAGAAAGTAATTTGAAGTATAGAGGAGAAATACCTGTGGCTTAATTGAGTAAAGAGAGAAACAAGTTGTTTAAGACATATACTTAATTAGATAAAAAATTAATGAAATTTACTTTTTTCTGCTTTTCAAGCTGTTGTTCTTCTAGTCATTACATTTCATTGCTTCCTTTTGATGGGTTCTTAAGATTTTTCTGAATCAACTAATGTTTTCTATGTTCTTTGCAATATTTTTTTTTGTAACGATTAGGGATGCAGTACGAGACTTCTTACATGAAATATATTTTCTGCCTGACCTTCCAGAGCTAAAAGAAATTCAAGTCGTCCTTCAGGAATACAGAAAGGTACAGCTTCAGCTTCTTTTACTTATTTGTTTATTTTTAATGCATCAAATGAATTCATGACAAGTGAGGAAAACGTGTAATGGTTATTGTTAAGCAGAAATAGTATTTATCTGTCTCCACAATAAAATAGAATTTGTGTATCGCAGGAATACTTTGAAGCAGGTTCTGATTCTTCTTTAGGAGTGAAATATGCTCATGCTTATTTAACATGCTTGTTTATGTAGCATCTCCTGAACTCTGACTTTTCATCTTTATGAGACTAAAGAGATTATAAGATTAAAAGTCAGCAGTATTAGCTATGGCAATGACTGTGTTACAAGAGAAGCTACTTTTAATTTGATCCCTCTTCCATATTCTCTTTAAAGGTGACAAAGTGTGTCTATTTTTAGGAGTACTCTATGGTCCGTTTCTTTTGCTTGCCCTCAGAATGGTTAGGTAATAGCAATTATTTAGTGGGAATGAGGTAACAAAAGTAAAAATTAATTTGATTTTAGATAATGAGGTATTCAAAGCAAAGGATTTTCTTTTGATTTAATAATTTTTATTTACACCATCATTATATTTACACAAAAGTGTAAATATAGCACCTTTTTGAGGAAAACATTTTAAAAAAAAGACAGGAAGACAGTGGTATATGCATATAGATGAGCGTGTAGGCAGAAAGGTGGTTGGCTCTATGTATTCTCACTTGTGTTATTTGAGATGCTGCTTAACTGTGTTCCTGTTATACTTAACTTCAACTTCTTATGTCATGTCTTGTTCAGGAATCCTCCAAAAGCACTGACTTGCAGACAACACTGCAGCTGTCTATGAGAGCTATTCAGCATGAGAATGTGGATGTTCGTATTCATGCACTTACCAGCCTGAAAGAAACATTATATAGAAATCAGGTATAAAAAATCTCCTTTAGTAGAATTAAAAATAAATCAAAGTAGCTTCTGCACCAACGATCTAAAACTCCTTACTGTTGCTGGGTGCTCACATGAACTGTGTTATTCTCCTCAATTTATTAAGCTAGCTGTTTCTTAATATAATGGGGAGAAGGGATTCTTTTTCATCATGTCTCCTTGTAAGAGGACTTTTGAATCCTCCAAATCTGTGTGGTGCTGATTCAGCAAGGCTAGTGGTACATTTCTTATCTTTTTTCAACTCCAAGGAAAGATGTATCTAAGAAGTCTATTTCAGCAATCAGTTATGTGGGCTTGTTCCCTGTTAGAACATGTATGGCTTTTTGCATCAGGAGACTAATACATTAAAACCAGCATTTTTTGTGTGTGAGTGTAATATCTGAAAGAATTAAAACGTGTGTGACCACCTCACACCTTTAATTTTTTCCTCTCTTCCTTCTTAGCCTTCCACCCTCAAAAATTTGAATCCATTGATCATATTCAAATAAATTTTATAGCCATGTACAAGTTGAAGACTGCTTTACAAATCTGTGTGGTTATTAGCCCAGAGGGGTGTATGTGACCTATTTAAAAAAAAAAAAAAATCTGTCCCCTTAGTAACTATAAGATTGTGGGACACTCTTTAGACAGAAGATAAAAAAAAAAAAAAGCTAGCTAAAAGAACAAAGAATCGTTGTGTATATTCCTGGCCAATCAGTAATTCTTGCAGCTCAGGTCAGCAAAATCTTGCCATGTCTTGCTTAGTTAGAAGTCTAGCAAAATAATTGAGGTAAATCAAACTTAATTAATTCCACAGCTTGTGCAACTATTTGCTCTGTTATGTTGGCTGTGGTTTCAGTTTTCATTAAACATAACAATGGCAAACATCTTCACATTAAGAGAAATTTTTTTTCTGTATTTGGACTAAATGTGAAACTGGGGAATAAAAGCTGGCCCAAAAATGAAAAAGAAAGGATATCCAATTAAAATGATGGGCATTGATTAAAGGACTTGAAACCCTGGGCTATTTAGGACTAAGAGTGAAGAAATGGCCAAAAAATGGGAAATAATAAGGATAGAAATGGCAGTGAAACCAGAACGTATGATAACAGCTGCATGAAAGAAATTGGAAGTACCAGAACACATGAGGAAAGGGACAGGTAAGTGAAAAAGATAATGTAGAAAAGAAGAGAGGGTCTTGGTAAGACAAGGAAAGACAATGAAGTTAGTAGAAAGGTGTATGATAATGAAATACAATATTAGCCATGACAGCATTATTAATTGAGGCCCAAATCCCTCATTATTCATTTGTTTAGCCCTCCCTAGGGTAACAAGCAATTTAGAGTTTATAGTTACTAAATGACAGTATTTGAATGACTAACCTAAAGTCATGGCTAAATGAAGTAGGAAGTAAGAGTGAATTACAGATGGAAAATTTCTGAGGTTATTTACCATAAACATGGTTGTAGAATAACTCATCTGTATTTTTCAACTTCCTAGGAAAAATTGATAAAGTATGTAACAGACAGTGAAACTGTGGAGCCAGTCATCTCCCAGTTGGTAACTGTACTTCTAATCGGCTGCCAGGATGCAAATTCTCAAGCCCGACTACTTTGTGGAGAATGTTTAGGTGAACTGGGAGCCATAGATCCTGGTAGGCTTGATTTTTCAACAAGTGAAACTCAAGGAAAACATTTTACATTTGTGGTAAGTGTTGCTGTAGTGTTTTGTTTAGCATTAAGGGTTTTTTAAAAGTACTTGGGAGTACGGAACCTCTTGTCTTTAGACCCTTTGAAAATCTATACTTGCTTTCTCATCTAAAACAGTTTAGAGTCAGGCTTCAAAGTGATTATTTGGAGATTAAAGATACAGCTATTACTCTGTTTTAATAACACTGGCATTCTGTTTGTGATTGAGGCTGGTGTGGAGGATCCGAATTTTGCCTATGGATTATTAATGGAACTGACCAGAGCATTCCTTGCTTATGCTGATAATGTTCGTGCTCAGGATTCTGCAGCATATGCGATTCAGGCAAGATACACGTTTAGATCCTTTTTTTTTTTTTTCACAGATTATTTCCTATCACACTGAACTTAGAATTATGCAATATAAATGTGTATTTTGAAGTACATGTTTAAATATTTGAAACTTCGTCTTATACAGCTTTAAATTACAAGGTAAAAGATTACTCAGGGTAATCTTTTTTTTTTTTTTTTTTTTTTAAAGTCCTCAGTGCTCACTTAGAATTATGAGGAGTTGTCAAATGAAAGAAGATTTGTTTGCTTTTGTGTCACAATATTTTGGGAGAGATCTGATGTTTCAGAGGTAACTAACAGTCCATACATAGTGATTCAAGGAGTAATCCTGGGACTGACATAGAAATAGTGCAGGTTCCATAGGCAGAAATGAAAAGCAGTAAGTATTCTGAAGAGGGTTTCTGCTTACACTTTTAGGAAGCAACTGAAAGGGAGCCTATGCTTATTTTCAGACTCTAGTCTTCTGTGCTGGTTTGCCAACTCCAAGCTGATTTGGTGGTTGTTTGGTTTTGCTTTTTGTTGTTGTTGTTTAATATCTTTGTGAAAACTTCAGGACAACTCTTTGCTCCTGGGGAAAATAAGTGACCCTATGTAGTCAGCAGAATATGAAAATTTCATTAGCTTATGCACAAGGAGGAATCGGACTAACTTCTAGTCCTGGTTTATTGGTAGATGTGAAGAATATGAGATAATGTGGTCCAAGCACCAACTGGCGAATCTGGGCGATCAATAGTTAGATGAAATCAACACTGCCTAGTAATAGGGGATTAACAATGTTGGATGAAAGTTTTGCAGTTATAATTTGTGAATTAAGCGTTCTGTAACTTCTATCTCATTACTTCTGGCTATACACCAGTTTTTGTTACACTGCTGTGGTCATGAAATTCCTTCGGTGCTAACTTGGTCATATAAACTATGCCTTTTCAGGAGTTATTGTCTATCTATGACTGTAGAGAGACAAACACTGACTGCCCAGGCTCCAGGCTTTGGAGGAGGTTTCCTGAGCATGTGCAGGAGATCTTGGAACCTCACTTAAATACAAGGTATATGACAACTTAAGCAATTTCTTCTCATAACAGCTTTAAAAACTTTTTTTTCCTCCAGGCTAGCAATAACTTCATTTGGTTTTGCAATTGTTACTCTTCTGTGAAGAGCGATATCTGTATATACAAAATTCACATAAGGTCTTTCTATGTAAATCTGAATTAGCACTTCCTTGAATGTAATTCTCTAGAAACCAAACGAGCAAAATTCTGAGCTCATACTTTGCCCAGATCTACCTGTTTGTCCCTAGAGCATTGTCATATACGATGTTTTGAAGCTTTTGTTTCTGTTTTCTTTCCTCTGTAAAAATTCTCACTAGGATTTGAGTTTGTACTCCAATATATTAATATCCCTTTACTGCTACCATTTATAGGAGGAGCACAGTGGGTTTTAATTTGACTTTTCATTTTGTTGAGTTAATCATAAAAATAATGTAAAGACAACTACAAATGATGTATGCACCTTAATTTGAAATTATCAACAATGTTTCTATTTCCTCATGAAGACAGTCATGCTCATCTCTAAGTTTTACCTTTTTAGAAAACAAACTTTTTGGCATTTCTTGGCTTTCATGTATGTTCTGGGTTTTTCCTGTCAAAAACATAGTACTCAAATATTTATCGAACTGCATTTCTTAAAACTGATTTGAACAGCACTTTGAAATATACTTAAAAATTCTGGTAATATGTTTGGTTGTTTGTATGTCATGTTTCATTTAAGAAGCTCTAGAATAAAAAATGTTGACTACTGAAAGTATTTTCTTAATTCTTTTTTAAAAGATTCAGAAGATGAAACCTAATATGATTCCAGTCAGGGAACTTCATAATTAATGATGTGCTATTGGTTTTTATTATATTAAATAAAAAAGTTAGTTTTATTAAATGGATATTCTAAAATTGCAGGTACAAGAGTTATCAAAAGGCTGTAAATTGGTCTAAGATGAAGAAGCCAATTTACTTAAGCAAATTAGGTGATAATTTTGCAGAATGGTCAGCGACTTGGGCAGGTTATCTTATAACAAAGGTAAGAGAATAAAGCTGCTCTCTATATTGGTATATGCAACACGGTTGGATGGGGGAATATGCCTATTCGCTATACGCCTGTTAAAGCATGTACCTACTTTTTGCATCATCAAGATAACCATGCACCTTCCCTTCCCCTGCATTGTTGCTTCTTGGCTAGGCTGCACAGGTAGTGTCAAAGCCAGAAGTCTAGGAAGTTTGCCCTTGTTCAGAGACTCTTGTATAGCTGAAGGCACTGACAGATGCTTGTGTAAAGTATCTGAAATGCTTCTGGAAAACCTCAAATTTACCTTCTCAGTTTCTGAAGGATTTCTTTTGTTCCCCCATAGCTCCAGAGTCCCAGCACATAAAAAGTACTTGTCCCTTTCTTCCTTTAGTCTTTCAAACATGTAAGTGACCCACTGAAAATTTCACTTCTAAGTCAGCCACTTTAAGAAGTGAATTTAATTGCAATAGCTCGGTAGCTACGTTGTCCTCTTTCTATTTCAGAGAAGAATTTAATGTCTTCCTAAGTTCCTACTTTTTGCAGGCTTTTAAGGGCAGAAGAGAGGCTGAGTGCAGTAGTAGACTCTTGGCCTTAAGGTTTCTTCTATGGCCAGTGCAAGTTCATAATGGTGTAGAAACCATGGGCAAGTGGATCATGTAAGCAATGCTTGCCTGTCTTTTTGTGGTATCAGCAACTGATGCACGTAATAGCAGCTGCCATCTGGCATCCCTGTTGCAGTTTTAAGTCTGATGAACCTTCCGTAGGAGGTAAGTATCTTAAAATTGTTTGATGGAATAGAATTTGTATTTGTCAACAAAAAGAAACCTGTTAATTGTTCAGGCATTTGCACTTTTGTAGTGATGCTTTTCCTAGAAATAATGTTTTTCTATAGGTGCGGCATGATCTTGCCAGAAAAGTTTTCAATTGCTGCAGTATTATGATGAAGAATGACTATAAAGTTACAATTTATCTGCTTCCGCACATCCTTGTCTATGTTTTGTTGGGATGCAGTCAAGAAGATCAACAAGAGGTGAGATGTATAAGATGGTAGTGTTCTTCATAGGAGCTGTTCAGCTCTGCAGAATTACTGTAGACCTACATGAACAAATTTTATAGGTGTTATACTCCTTTTCCTGTATTAATAATACAAATTTGCTGCCAGGATTTTGAATATACTCATACAAGTTTGTGTTGAACTGCTGTTCTGTGGATTTCCATCTATTTCTTCAGTAGGGCCTAGGATGAGATATTATGTGGTTAATGATGACTGCAGTAAACATCAAGAGCTGGAGTGGGTACGAAGAGGAAAAGAGTGCAACACAAACAAGGAATAAATTTAACTTGTGTACTTCCAAGAATTCAGACCCATAATTTTCTGCCTCCCTTGCATACACTTACAATTTAAGTGAAAAAACTACTTAGCTAGCAGATTCATGCAGAACAGGATTCATAGATGTCTTGTAGCAAAGGAGGGATAGGAGAGAAAAGAGTCATCCAGTCTGCTTTCCTTCAGTTTGCTTTAGCAGAAGTTGAAGAGACCGAAAAATATAACTTACATTCTTTTAATTTGAAATTTCATAGCGAAGATATCTGTCTTTAAACATTGTGGGTGTGTAGAGGTGTGTGATGATTCTTGTTTGAACAAGTTCGTCCACAGTAAGCATCTGTTATGTGTATTAACTTGTATTCCACTGACTAAAACAAACAGGAAGCAGGTCTTTCAGCATGGTATTTACTTAAGCAAAAAAGTAGATCTGTGATCTGGTAGCCAGTAGATAACTTGAAGTACTGTATTTGCAGCAGAAGTGCAGTAGCATTGATTGTGTCTTGAAACCTAGAATTCCAGTAATTGTGATGGTTACTCTGAACCCAAGGGTTTGCTTTTCAAAGGCTTCTTCCTGTGTGGAATCTCCTGACAACTGCTACTTGGTTTGCCTTTTCTTCCTCTTAAGATTTTGAGACAAACAGAGCTTGCAAATAAGCCCAAAATTAATTAAATATACAGTTAAAATATCTAGTATTTTAGTTTGATTTTTGTGTTAATTGCTGTTTCCTACTATTTTGATGCCTGTATGGTGCTTCTGTCTTTTATCATATTAATGTTTGTGTAGGTTTATGTGGAAATCATGGCTGTTCTGAAACATGATGACCAGTCTACCAGGAGACTTGAAGACAGTGCATCTGATCTAAGTCAGCTGAGCACACAGACAGTGTTCTCCATGCTTGATCATCTAACTCAGTGGGCTAGACATAAGTTTCAAATACTTATTGCTGAGAAAAATACTGGCAAGTCTAGCAAAGACAGAGGTGATCTAAAAAGTGAGTGATGCTTAATTTATTTAATGTAGCATTTACATTCTTCAGATAAGTATTTAAATTTGCCACTTCACAATATGACCCCTTAAGAATGCAATATTACTATATGTTAGTCTATGATTTTTTTACTATTATGCTGTGACTTCCACCACCTCCCACCCCAAATCCATTGGTTTGAATGTCTGTTGCAAGAAATACAGATTCAAAATGAAAAAATAAAATGTTACTTTCTTGGTAGTTTTCTAAAGGTTCAGTTTAACACATTGTGTGCTGTCTTGCAAGATGTAGGAAGTTCACCAGGATTGTTTTAAATAAATTATTGTTGACAGAAGAGAAAAATGTGTTCTTAAATTAATCAGATCTCACTAAATTGTGAAATGAATTAATTGAATTTAGTTGCATAAGGTAATTTTTATAAATGAAACCTCAATGGACAGACTTTTTAAAATGTCTTTTTTCTATAGCATCAAGTGAGGACTATGGAGAATACCAAAATGTGACACGTTTTCTAGACCTCATACCTCAGGATACACTAGCTGTGGCTTCCTTTCGCTCTAAGGCTTACACAAGGGCTGTGATGCACTTTGAATCATTCATCACAGAGAAGAAACAAAATATTCAGGAGCATCTTGGATTTCTTCAGGTTCTGAAGTTCTTTTCAGTTTTCGCTTGTTTTATTTTAAAATGAAAGTAGACATTGATGAATAAAGCTTTGTCAAATTCTTCTTTGAGATGGGAAGAAGAAAACATGTAGTCAGGCTCTTGCAGTTGGATACAAGTGTTTAGTCATTGTCTTTCAGCAATATTTAGTACTTCCCCTTGCGTGGCATGCTTCTTATATGAAAAGGAAGGAGTAACTTTGTAGTTTATAATAAAAGATTGTAAGATCCTGAAAATAATTAGATGTGTTTTTGTTGAAAGTATAGCATTTATTGCTTTTAGTTAGCTCTGTGCCGTTTGTCAGAGAAAACACAGCTAACTATAATAACAACAACAAAAAAAAACCTAAACACATTTGAAGGAAAGCTAAGTGCCTTTTTCTAAAGTAGAGAAAGAGCTAATGCTAAGGGTGTTGAAAATTATTTAAATTCTTTTCAAGTATTTTAACCTGTGGGATTAGCCTGTTTGTGGTTCCTTATGGTTTATATTCCTCAGTGACATTTCAAATTTGAAAAACTTAGTATGTTGCTTTTCCATCTTAAGTAATCTGCAGCTTCATGTTATACAACTTTATCATGTAATAATAGGGTATTTTGTCCTTTGTACAGATTGTTTCAAGTAACTTGATGTGGTATTCTTTCTGTAGTACGAGATCATGAGTATTACAGTATGCTGTAGTAGGGGTGAACTTCAGAAGTAGTCCAGCAAAACTGACATTTTCCATGAAAGCTTAATGCCAAGAAGTCATACAGAGTAGTTTGTTCTCCATTTTCAAGAAGATGCATGATTCTGAGCATGTTATATATAAAATATCGTCATTTTGTCTTAAGAGTTGTTTTTAATGTCCATTTCCAATTCTGTTTGAATAAAGAAATTGTATGCTGCTATGCATGAACCAGATGGAGTAGCTGGGGTGAGTGCAATTCGGAAAGCAGAACCATCTCTCAAAGAACAAATCCTTGAACATGAAAGTATTGGTTTGTTAAGAGATGCAACAGCCTGTTATGATAGGGCTATCCAACTGGAACCTGATCAGGTAAATCCAAGACAAATTCTTTAGTTATTTTTTAACATATATATAATAGTGTTTTTTTAATCTCCTTAACTAACTCAAGACTAAGCCAAAAATACCTCTTCAGAGTATTTAAGTAACATGGGCGCATGAGACTTTACTGCAGCAGTTGCTGAATAATTACTGCTATTGGAAGTGTCTTATGAACTGAAATACATCTCTTACTGGGTTTATACTGTAATTTGCAGGCTTGGGTTAATAGTTGGATGCTTATGCCCAGGTTTTTGCTAGGATAGCTTACCAATTAAAGTTCAGTCTTTGCTTGGCAAGGCGTGGAATTGGGTTGCTTAAATATCAATCAGTACTGGTACATGCCAAGAGAACTATTAAAGCAAGTTACCACTGATTTTATTCAAAGTAATTTTGACTTACTATTTTTGATTATTGACATCCAGGGAAAATGTTCATAATATAAGAGCTCTTGGAAACTGATTAAAGAAAACTTGTAATTATTTGTCTTCCATTCCCCTTCTTTTATTTGGAATATATAAGTATAAGGTACTGTAAAGCTGAGCTGTACTGGAAAACCATCATGCTTTTCATATGCCAAAGTGAATATACAGAGATGTGATGATAAATGCAAAAAGAAAGTTGAAGACATGTATTACCCTTTCTATATTTGAAATACTCTTCTAATGGAAACTAGTAAAAAGTTTCCTACAATAGGGTATCCGTGTGGTTTCTTGCACTTCCCTATGAAGCAGTGGTTATCTAGCACAGCTGATAACAAGTATAGTAAATAGAGTGTTTTGATGGCCCTGCTTCATTCCCAGAATATGGAAAACATTTTATGAAGAGTGAAATTGCTTTGGGTTTGGGTTTTTTTTTCTTCCTGTGACTTCTTTCTTGTTGTTGTTAATTTCTTTAAATCAAATTTTTATTCACAACTCTGATATGGGTATTAATAAATCAACATCAAACTATATTTGTGGTGAGGCGCATTTCAAAAATTGCCAATGGTGATTTAAGTTCTTTGGTAATCCTAGACTTTTTTTAATTTTGAATGTTCATTTAGCATATGGTGCAATTGGTTATGCCTGTTCATATTATAAAAAACATCCAAATGGACATATTTCCTCCTTCAGACTGCCATGAACTTCGTTAATGTATGTGTGGGTTTTTTCATGTTTGTTTTTTTTTGTTGTTTCTCCCCCCCCCATTTCTAGATTATTCATTATCATGGTGTAGTGAAGTCCATGTTAGGCCTTGGTCAGTTATCTACTGTAATTACTCAGGTCAATGGAGTGCTTGCAAACAGGTACTGTAAGCATCTAATACAATGTTTATTTGAGTAATGTGAATCTCTTGTGTTACACCTGTGTCTCAATAGCCATTTTTGCACGTTATCAAGCATTTAAGGCTTATCAAGCATATCCAGTTAGTAGTGTGAAGCTAGAAAACTTTAAGTGCTTTGTCTATAAATCATTTATTTCAAGACTGCTGGAAATGTTAGTACTTTTTGTCTGCACTGTGTGCAGTGTTGATATGTGCTTTAGTTTGTTAAATAGAATCTTTCATTCATTGTCTTGTATGTTACTGGTTCTATAGCTGTTCAATAGCCTAACAGGATAAATGAATTGGAAGATGGTAATTTTAAAAACGTGCCATGGAAGTTAAATACACTACTTGGAAACTGAATTTATGGGATCAAGTTGTACAGCTATTATTTGTTATCAATGCATATCCTTTGGTTTTATTGAATTTTATTAGAAGCAAGCTTACCTTGCTTCTTTTCAAGAGAAGTTTTGTATAAAGAATATTTGCTAATATAATGTAGGACTAGCATACTGAGGGGGGAAAGGGAAAAAAAAAATTAGTTCAGCACAAACTTTTATTGCCTTTGTTTTTCTTTTAATAGGTCTGAATGGATTTCTGAATTGAATACTTACAGAGTAGAAGCAGCCTGGAAACTGTCACAGTGGGATTTACTGGAAAATTATTTGGCTTCAGGTAAGTTATGATATCAAAAGATGAATACTTCCTTGCATTTCTGAACAAGTGTATGTTTTAGTCTAATCATCTTGAATAAAGGGGCAACTGTTGTAATTTTTTTGTCTTGGGTTTTACTGGGCAGAGGGTTGGTTCTGACAGTCTTCTACATTTTGTAAATGTATTTTATTGTAAACTTTATAGTCTTTGAGTAGAAATTTCAAGCAAGTTTAAGGCCAGATTTCTTCTAGGTTTGTTTGGGGGCGTGGATTGTGGGGTGGAATTATCAGTATTTCTAAAATTCAGTTAATTAGTTCTGAGAATAACTTATTTTTCCTGTAGTATGTTAAGACAAACTAGCATGTTCAGATTAAGCTGCTTAAAGAAACGGAGTTTGAGAGGCTTTTTTTTTTTCTCCCCAAAGATGTGAAGTCCACTACTTGGAGCGTCAGACTAGGACATTTATTATTATCAGCCAAGAAGAAAAATGAAGGAGCTTTTTATGACACACTCAAGGTTGTTCGAGCAGAGCAGATTGTACCTCTTTCAGCAGCAAGCTTTGAAAGAGGATCCTATCAGCGAGGATACGAACACATTATCAGGTTTCTGATTTTCATGTCACTATTTTCAAATCCAGAAATCACATAATCAAGTATGCAGCAGTAAGAATTTTCCATTTCCACAATAAATGGTACTGATGTGCATTTTCTGTCACCTCTTTTTTTTTTTTTTTTTTTAATACTCACCCAACTGGAAGCCTTTGATTAATTGGGAATTTATATTTATCCCCTGTGAAAAATATTCACAATAAAACTGTGGGGTATAGTCTTTTAAAATCAGCAAGCAAGTTTATGTAACGTCAGGTAATAAAAATAAAAAATTTAATTCCATGCTTGAAGTAGTACATATAGGCCAGTAACTCCATTAACTTAAGAGCGTTGCTTTTAATCTGTATGGTGGCCTAAAAGCACTCTCTTCTTTTGTCGACAAACAGCAATAAGAATTGAAACCCCATCCCTTTCAGTAGTTTTACTTTTTCTTTTTTAATAAATTTTGAAGTTGGCTGTAGTAGACTAGAAAGTTAGCAGCCTTTTTTTAATGAAAAAAGCTTAATACTTCCTGTGCACTGTAAGCGCATCCTTATGGCAAGATATTGCATGAAACTAGCCAGTTGAAGTATATATTTCTTAATTAATTCTTAATTCTATTCTCTGTTGGTAATTTTTGCAGTCTTATTTTATTTAGGAAATGGAGTTTGAGTATTGAGAAAGAAGTGTTTCAAAATAGTTCAATTGAGCTGTTGATCAGGGCTATTCGGAAGCCTTCAGCCACTGTTTTTCTGTCAGGTATATGCCAATGAGAACTTAGGCGTTTACAAGCTCTCAGCTTTGCAGCTTTACAGTGACAGCTAATAATAATAGTATTTTTAAATAAATGGAATAACTTTATTGTAAAGGAGGTGTTTAAGTAACATAGTATGTTGCCTTAAATGGTATTTGTTGAAAATAACAGACTTTTTGAAGAATTATTGCTAAAAGTAATGGATAGAAATACTCTTTCTAAAGACTGACTTCCTTTCCAAGTGATCTTCGTTGTCTCTGTGTTCAGCAGCTTGGCAAAGGAATAGTGAGAAAATAACTAATCAGTTTACAAATCCTTGATTTTGTGTGTTTGGTTTTGCTGCATTTTTGCTTTTAAAAGAAGTCCTACTACTTGAAATTACTTACGTGGCCAGCTTTTAGAAAGCAAATGGGAAAAGCTTTGTAAAGCTTGCATATATATGAAACAGCAACCAATTTTCAACAACTTTTTGCCTTTATTTTGCTAACACAGGTTACATATGCTGTGTGAGTTGGAACATAGTATTGGACCAATGTTTCAGCAACCAGATGGTGACTACAGTAGAGATTCCTTGAATTGGTGTGCTCGTATTGAAATGACCCAAAACTCTTACAGAGCAAAAGAACCCATTTTAGCACTGAGAAGGGCTTTGCTTAGTCTCAGTAAAAGGTGAGAACATGACTATTTCTTGTCTGTCTATGTTGTATTCTGAGTAATATTCTCTTTTCCCATATGTGTAGTAGAAGAGAGAAGAGAAAACTGTGGAAATTTATGTTGTAGACAAAAGCAGTCCTCTCCAGTATTACATACCTTCAAAATAGAAGGGAAAAGTGGTGTCTTTGGGAAAGATAAGGGAGAAACAGGGGGAAGGAGTATTTGTTTCTAGGCCTAAATGGAAAAAAGGTGAAACAGATGTATTACAAATAATTTTAAATGATCGCAATGTAGTATGTAGCTTATTGAGAAACTTTGTGTTTCAACACATTGTGATATTTACTTCAGATTGTAAAGCAGCATTCATGACTGAAATTTTTCATTTTCTGCAAAAATATCTCTGCAGCCAGGATTACAGTGAGCTTGTTGGTCAGTGTTGGCTCCAGAGTGCTAGAGTTGCAAGAAAAGCTGGTCATCACCAGACTGCCTATAATGCTCTTCTGAATGCTGGGGAATCTACGCTCTCAGAACTTTATATAGAAAGAGCAAAGTGGCTCTGGTCCAAGGTAAAGAATATAAAAATAGAACTTACTTTCTTACATGCAAGAAAATAATCTTTTTAGTTTTCTTCAAGAAAAAAAGGTGCACAATTACTATACATAAAACAAAATATGTCAACTGGGACTATCAACACAATCTGACTGCAGCTGAGCCACAGGAAGTTTTTACCTCCAACTGCTAGTCAGGCCTTTCCTGTTTCCATTGACTTTTCTGGCAGCTATGTATAAAACTGGTGGACTACCTGCCTCTGTCAAAGCAGCCCAGGCAAATTTAAATTATCTTAATAGTAGACCTTTCCTTAATTTGTATCCTTTTAACTAATAGAGGTAGGCAGCAAACATGGGAGCAATTATTGTGGTAAACCTAAAGGGACGACAACAACATTGAGGTAAGGAGGGAATATAAGAAGCATTTGAAGTCCGTGATACTCAGTTACCACAGCCAGAATGGTCTAGAATACACTCAGGGACATAGCTTTGCTTTAATAACAACTGTAAGATGGAAGTTTTAAATTTCTCTTATTTAAAGTATATAAAATGTTTTCCTCTTTCCCTTAGGGTGAGGTTCATCAAGCACTCATTGTTCTCCAGAAGGGGGTTGAGTTATGTTTCCCTGAAAATAAAGCACCATGCAGTAGCAAAAATCAGCTCATCCATGGTCGGGCAATGCTGCTAGTAGGCAGGTTTATGGAAGAAACTGCTAACTTTGAAAGCAATGCAGTTATGAAAAAATACAAGGTAATTTGATATACTAGTGTTAAGGCAGTAGTTTTGAATAATAATAATATATCCCTTAAGTAAGCTATTGATATGCTGCTGATGATGTCAACCAAGGGTAACATCAATGGGATTAAATGGTATATCAATGTGTAGGAGGGAAGTAGTTCTTGAAAAGACTTAACAATCTGAATTAGCTTTAATATAACACGTCAATATAGGAAAGTCTACAGTCCCCAACAGCAGGAGCTAAGAATACCTAATGTAGCTCTTCAGAGTGAAAAAAACAAATTACAAGAGCATGGCTCTTTTCTTATGCATGCACAAATTAGAATTCCTCACTAAAATGTGGGCTACTGTGGATAGACAGTGAGATAACTTGATGACACGTTGCACTACTCTTCAGTGTTACTTTTCTCTCTGGTTGTGACTTACAACTGTGCTTTAAATATGCTTGCAGTCTCTGAAGAACTAGGAAAAGGGGCAACCAGTATGTTTTACTTCAACAGCACAGCACTACACTGCTTTGTCTTGCTATGCCAGAGGAATACTGTCTTGGCATTGATTAATATTGCCTGCTAAACCAGTAGTAGATGCAGATCTTTATGCGTCCTTAAAAGTAGTATGTCTCCTATCTAAGTTTTGGTATTTGATACTGTTAATACTTACCGCTGTCTTCCTAATTAAAATATTTCTGTAACAGTCACTTAGAGAAAAATCTAACGGATGCATCAAATCAAATGAAGGTTGAAATAATGGAAACTAATGAAATTCCTGTGGATTATATTAAAATACTAATGATTAGAATTCTCTGCTGTCTAAATATTGGCACCGGAAACAAGCCAGTGTTAGAGAATGGATGTGCCACTTGCTAAGTGAAAAACACAGAATCATAGAATCATTTAGGTTGGAAAAGACCTCTAAGATCATCAAGTCCAACCATTAACATCCTGCTGTTTCACTTTTCAACAAAACAAAAGAAACACAGTAATAAGTTTATCAGGTTCAAGAACTTGATTATAATATTTTTAATGAAACCATAATCTTTCCTAGTTGGGGAATCCTATATTATCCTGTCTTGAATTATCTTGCTGTTTTCAATTCCAAAAGGTATTTTAAGAACAGACTTTTAGTGTGTACAGGCATTTATCCTGGGGCAAAATTACAATTTTTGGAGTTACAAAGTTACAGTTAATACTTTTTTTGCGCATATTGCACAAAGGTAACTAATACAAGATTCTTGTTTCTTGAGAATCTTTTTTATTATTGTTTTATTTATTTTAAATATAGCATCCTCTCAAAAGTAATTATCTCTTTTTGATTTTGTTGCAGGATGTTACGATTTTCTTGCCAGAATGGGAAGATGGACATTTTTATCTTGCTAAATACTATGATAAATTAATGCCAATGGTAACTGACAACAAGATGGAAAAACAAGGAGATCTGATTAGATACATAGTTCATCATTTTGGGAGGTTAGACTCTAGGGGAACTTTGCTTAGTTTCTATAGAAGGATGACTATTATGCTGAAAAATCATTTTATAGGAATATATTGTCTTTTGAACAATTCAGACTGACTCAAATTTTATGCAGTATTGTGAAATAAAATACTGCATGCTTCCTTTTTGTTTTCATACCTAATTAATTTTATTTCTGCCCTCTGACTAATCAATTGTCTGTCTTGTGTAAGACAGTTAATTATTTCATCTGCAGTTTTGATTAATAAAAACAAAACCTTTGCATATTAGTAAGCTTTAGTTGTTGCAGATGCATTAAAATGCTGAACATAAATTTCTAAAGTCCAAAATGGAATGTAAGACAATTAAGGATGTAACATTTGTAATGCTTCTAATAAGTATCATTAACATGCTGTGATTTAAATATGTAATCACAGATCTCTACAATATGGAAACCAATTCATCTATCAGTCAATGCCAAGAATGCTATCTTTATGGCTGGACTTTGGAGCGAAAGCATATGAATGTGATAAAGGTAGAACACAGTACATACTTCTTATGTCATACTTTTGAATATATGATCGAAAGAGCAGTGAAGTATATTTACAGTTCTTTGTTTAGACTTAACTGCCTGAGATTATATGGAAACAAGAAAGTACTATTATTCTTTTAAATTACAGGATGTTAATGTGCAGGGGAGTATTAATTATTTTCATTAAACCCTCCAGAACTTCTTTTTAAATATGCAGTGAGGTAGCATTGTTCCTTGGGTAACTGAAGTCAATAAACTGATTTAGGGAGCATCCTTGCATGTCACCTGTCACCTTTTCTAAGTTGCATCATGAGTAATGAGTAGTGGTTTTGTATCTGCTTGCTACAGTAAAGTGTTAGGCTTTGGAGCTTTTTTGCAGTTTGTCTTGGTTCAAGTTGTTGAAGGAATTTTACTGAAATTTAAATGGGGGGGAGGGGGGAATCCTGTAGGCAGCATCAAGGCGTATGAAACTACTACCATAGATGCATTTTGGGTGGGAGATTTTTGTACAAATGAAAATTGTAAACATTGCCTGTGGGTCTGGAGTGAAGCAGACAGTTGTGGCTCCTTGATCTTGACCTACACTTAGGTCAACTGAATTTGGCTGCAGGCACATCAGATGCTGCTGTCTGTGTTGTTGATGTGCTACTCATGCTGGGCCCTCAGGGGCAGGGGTGGAGACAGTAGCAGATGTGCTAATTTCACCCCTTGTAAAGACTTTCTTCATTTGTTCTCCACTGAAGAACACTGGCATCCTTCTACTGGGGAAATACAGGGAGTGTTTTTGTTTTGTTCTGTGCCACTGCATCACTTCAGAGGAGTAAGAGATGTTTTATTTTAAGAGTGTAAGGAGAGCTTTTCTGACATTGTCTGTTCTATGTTCCTGTTGTCTGTCCTTGTTTATTTCCTGCTATTCTGGTTAGTTAAATAGCATATGTATTAAGTCATTGTACGCTACGTTAAAAAGAATGTTACACTAGGAGCTTTTCCTTCTTGAGTTTTTTTGGCTTATGAAAATTACCAACAAAATATGTTTCTGTAGGCTTGATTTAAATGACTTCACATTTCTGATTGGAAAAAAAGGAACATAATCTTGTCCTCTTGTGTTTTTCAGCTAGTCGTTCAGAACGTGTTCAAATGAAAAACGATTTGGCTAAAATAAATAAGGTGATTACAGAGCACACAAATCACCTGGCACCTTACCAGTTTCTGACAGCTTTTTCTCAGCTAATCTCCCGAATCTGCCATTCTCATGATGAAGTCTTTGCAGTTCTGATGGTGATTGTTGCTAAAGTGTTTTTAGCCTATCCACAGCAAGCAATGTGGATGATGACTGCTGTGTCCAAGGTACCTTGATAAGTATAGCTACACCTTTATTAGGTTTGTCAAACTTTTTTCATCAGAAAGAAATGAGAATATAAACCTATTTTACTTGAAGATGTTAAGAAGGAATTGAGAGTTTCAGTGGCTGTGATACCCTGTTCCACAACACTGTATCCATGCTGTCACTGCAAAAGATTTTATTGCAGTCTGAAGTTCAGATGCCACAGTTTAAATGTTCCAAATTAGAACGCTAACATGCATCCTGACTTGTATGATGTATTAGGAAGGGAAATTTGAATAACAAGTAGCTGATGAATTGGGTAGTTATGGACAACAGATTTTGTTGGTTTTAGTAATTGTAATAGTAATTCCAGTTTTATAATCAAATAATCAACTCTGTGCCTTGATTAAAATGAGATAGATATACCACTTAGTCCTAATACTTACCCAGTATTAAGGTCATTCCAAAGCAAATTGGAAAGCATGGTGCATGCTATTTCTTTAAGGCTGGTGAAATAACATTCAGGATACGCTGGCATATTCTTGAATATTGGCCTTAGTGTTGTGGGACTCCCAATAATGTTTTCAGAAAGCAATAACCCACAGAGCCGCCAACCGTACCACTTTAGCACTTGTTCAGGTACCAAATTTCAGTTGGAGGGCATCCTTCTCCAGGTATTAAATATGACAAGCAATAAACAGGGAAAAGAATATATTAATTACTGGGGTGGTCGTGGTGGAGGTGTTAGGATTCTTTAATTGATTTGACTGTTGTTTAATAAATTTTAACTTTCCTCTTTTTTCAGTCCTCTTATCCTATGCGTGTCAATAGATGTAAGGAAATTCTAAACAAAGCTATTCACATGAAGGAATCTTTAGGAAAATTTATTGGAGATGCAACACGCCTTACGGATAAGCTATTAGAACTATGCAACAAACCGGTACTTACAAAAATAAACAAATTAATGCATGTAATAGGATTATTCAAAAATGTTATACAAAAGCTTCTTCTCATAGCTTTCATTAGCCAATTCATTACATTACTACAATTTAACAGAAACTACACTTACTTGTAAAAGATTTTATTTTTTTACTTAATAAAAATATTTTTTAAAGCAGAAAATAGCTCTAAATTGAGCACATTGTAAAATATATCACTACATAATGGTACATTTCATAGTGCATGGGCTTTACATTGTTTTGTGCTTTGGTGTGTGATTCTTGCCAAGTAACTTTCACAGAGTTTTACTATAAAAATAGGCTGTTTGTGTTTTCATGAACAAATGAACTTGATAATAAAGGTAAAACGAAATAAATTCTTTCATTATTCTGTATTTACATTCAGAGTGAAAGATACATGTGCCGTAAAGGCCAGATATATTTACTTTTGACCACTCCCATTTAATTTGAAATGTAATTTCCCATTTTTCTTATTAGCATAAGCATTTATTATTCTATTCATTAGTTAACGTACAATAGCAGTAATATTTTAAGTGTTTATTGTTAACTTTTGAACTTTTTTTTCCAAGGTTGATGGAAACAGTTCAACATTAAGCATGAATATTCATTTCAAAACACTTAAGAGATTAGTAGAAGAGTGCACATTTAGTGAAATTCTCATTCCCTTACAATCTGTAATGATACCAACTCTTCCTTCAATTCCTGGTACACATGCTAACCATGACCCTTTTCCTGGATGCTGGGCCTACATTGCAGGCTTTGATGATACGGTAAGCCTCTAGCTGGCACCTCATTTTAAACTTCATGTTAAACAAATGCAGCTGCAAATATATCTTAGTTCTCTAGAAATGGAGGAGTGGGTAGGAAACTTCATAATTACTGTCGTGGAAACTGAGTGGCTTCTGTCATAACAACCTGAGATAGATATGGCCTCTTGGTACTTAAATAAAGTTTTGGCCTGAGGTTAATATGCTGTGGCACCGTGGAAGTGCTAACGTGATTGGTTGCAGTGGTTTATTACAGTTAGACACTTTATTTTGTATGATCTGATACAGGTGTTAATAAAGAATTTAATTTTTTCCTTAGGTGGAAATTCTTGCCTCACTTCAAAAGCCAAAAAAGATCACCTTGAAAGGTTCAGATGGGAAATCTTACATTATGATGTGTAAGCCAAAAGATGATCTAAGAAAAGACTGTCGGCTCATGGAATTCAACTCGCTTATTAATAAGGTTTGATGAGTTATACAATCAGATGCATATACTTATTGACCAGAACAAAATGCTGAACTATCTAACGAAAAAAACCAGCTTGCCTTGAGATAAAGCTTTACTGGAAGATAAGTAAACTTTTGCAAAATATCTTATTTCAGCAGAAATCAATAGCAATCGAGAATGTATAACTTCTAACAGACTTATGAAAAAAATACTAAAATGTAACACTTTGCCAAAACAATTGCTTATTCCAGCAAAAATATACAGGAAAGGTTATTTACGGTAAATAAATAACTGCCAACTTTCTGTTGTCATGCCTCATATTTCTTATTCAGGATTTTCTAATATTTTTTTTATGAGAAATAGGTAAGTTCATCTTTTCATAGTAAAAGGGTTGCCATACTTCCTCTTTTAGTTATGTTTTGCTTCTCGGCAATATGTTTAAGATTAAGATACTGTGTTTTCCATGAGGTTAAAGCAAATAATAGCATCTCTGAAACACTAAAACATTTACTTCAAATACTGCTTTTAAGGGATTTGAGTCATGTGCAAGTTATGCAGTTTGACTATTTTATTGTAAAATTCTCTTTTTTTTTTAATTTACTTCAGAGAACAGAGGATCATTTTGCTTGTGTTTGACCTACTGCAGACAGTGAAGCTTAGAATTTTAAATTCTAGATCGTGTGATTGGAAAACACATATAGACAAAATAGTTAATGTTATTGATATATTTTGATCCTATCTATGTTATCTGTTAATCTCATTTTTCTTTTGTGAATAGTGCTTAAGAAAAGATGCAGAGTCACGTAGGCGAGAACTCCATATTCGAACCTACGCAGTTATTCCATTAAATGATGAATGTGGTATAATTGAATGGGTGAACAATACTGCTGGCTTAAGAAATATCCTGATAAAACTTTATAAGGAGAAAGGTAAAGAAATATATTAGACTATAGTGATATTATATTATATTCTTTTAAAGGGCTTGTATCTTAATTAGTAAATGAGACAAACAGCAAGGATCAGACCAAATTCTAGGAAGATGGAGTCGCGTGTATTTTTAACTATCTGCAATATATTATTGTTTGTATGTGTGGCACACTTTTACTCTTAAATGGAAGAGAATTGGTGCTTGCAATAAACAAGTTCCTTACAAGAACTGATAACACAATCATCTTAATACATTATTTTATACAATAATTTCAGCAGCAGTGCCATCAGCATGGGAATGTATATGCAGCACTGAATAATAGAAAAGACTGGACTTTTTTTTTAGATTTGATCTGTTGTTTTTAATTACTGTTACAATTGTGTGAGATAATTAAGATCGTTTATAATTGAATCAAGGTTGAGGGTACTGCAACTTGCCAAGGAAAAGATGAGATTTCTTTTTAATTTCTTGTTTAACAAAGCAACTTTCTGGTCAGTGCAATAAAATTTGGGGGGAAAATTTCACACATTATCTGTGTGTATGCAGATCTTGGGAGTTTGGAACTCCAGACGTCTCAGCTGAATATAATGAATGGCTTTGTGAGGCTGGTGGGGGTGTTTTTTGTGTATATGTGTTCCCCCCACTCCATCCCATGGTGATTGGTAAAACTGGAGGCTTGTTTGCCAGGTCTTCTCTTTCAGGTAACATTATGATTTTTTAATTTTCTTTCCAGTACTCCACCACTAACATGTTCAATGGGTTATTTTCCATTTTTTCATTTATTTCAACTTCATGGAGATGTTTATCTTCTCTAAAATACCATATTGTAATAGTACATATAAGGCTTTATTTTAGGGGATTTCTTTTGCCTAATTGAGGAGGTCTATTACAGGTATCTATATGACTGGAAAAGAATTGCGTCAGCATATGCTTCCAAAGTCAGCACCTTTGTCTGAAAAGCTGAAAATGTTCAAAGAAGTCCTTCTACCTCGTCATCCTCCTCTCTTTCATGAATGGTTTCTTAGAACATTTCCTGATCCTACTTCATGGTGAGTGACTGGGATTGGGCTAGCTCAGGAATACCTACTTTGTGTACTTTGCTGAATATTAATGATACTACTGGCTAAAGGCAGATAACCCAAGGAAGTGACTTAGACATACCTGATTCTTATTTCTGCAGGTACAATAGTAGGTCAGCCTATTGTCGTTCTGTTGCAGTTATGTCAATGGTGGGTTACATACTTGGTCTAGGAGACCGTCATGGTGAAAACATCCTGTTTGATTCTTTGACTGGTGAATGTGTGCATGTGGATTTCAACTGCCTTTTCAATAAGGTGAGAAATGCCACTTGCTGAACTTGCTTTTTATTTTACATGCATGTAAGTTATTAATTTCTATTGTCTTGGGTTTTTTCCACTGTTTTTTACTATAACACATCTGTTGTGTTCTCTCTCTCTCTTTTCTTTCTTATTTATACCATACAAACAGTCTGGGATGTGTAAAGAGTATGTGATCGTTCTGCATACTGTATTAATGAAGGCCAGCTCTTTGATTTAGCCAGTATCAGATGAGCTGATGTGGATACACTTAAACAACCCAAATTTTAGAGTGTTTGTCTTTTTTGACTCTCCTCTCTCCACTACCACCATCCAAACAAAGCTGTAGTTACTACATTCAGAGTTCTGCTGCTGTGAAGAGTTTCTTTGTTTTTCTCACACAAATTCAGCACAAAAATTCCAATGATTCTGTAAAAATAAACAGCAGAAATTGTGGCCAGAGTGGGATTTGGAGTTTTGGTGTTTCTGCTGAAAGATGCTTTTTGTGTGGGACGTGTGCCCTTTTTAATTCAGATAAGTGAGGTAGAGATGTTGTTCGTTTATTTTCTCCTGCTTTCTTTTTAGTAAGCCTAAATTGTCCTACATAACCCATAATTAAAAGGAATTGGTTTTAAGCTAACTTGAATATTATAAAAGAAAAGGTAGCATTTTGCATGAGACTGCAGAGCAGTAATATGTATTTGGAACAAAATTTCATACCCTCTACTGGTATATTAAAACAGGGAAAAAGAGGTTCATTTGGACATAGGTATCTTTTATTCACTGTAATTTCCCTTTAACAGCTGAGAAGCACTGCGATCTGAGCAAACATCTCTTGTCAGCTAGGAAACTGCCACTGATAAAGATTGGGGGAAAAAAAACTAAAAACAATGCAAATGTTACCCTTTATTTTAATAATGCTTAAAACACTTAGGACATACCCTTTTTTATCAATGTAAAGGGAGAAACTTTTGAAGTTCCGGAAATCGTTCCTTTTCGTCTCACTCACAACATGGTTAATGGAATGGGTCCAATGGGAACAGAAGGTCTCTTCCGAAGAGCTTGTGAAGTCACAATGAGGCTTATGCGTGATCAAAGGGAGCCTCTAATGAGGTATGGCAACTGGTTTTGCTACAAACTCTGAAAAAGCTGTCTGTAGTCTGAACATCTGAAACAGTAACTGCTGGTGAATATGCCAGTTCCAGCATATGCCTATCATGCAGCTCAGTCTTACTGTGACATGCAGTTAAATATAAAACACTGTAAACATCCAGCGCTAACTTTAGACCCCGTCAGTGGTTTTGTTTTGAAAATTGAATGTATTATATGTATCTTACCCTTTTTTTATTTTTAATTTTAGTGTCTTAAAGACTTTTCTCCATGATCCTCTTGTGGAATGGAGTAAACCTGTTAAAGGGAATACAAAAGCACAGGTGAACGAAACTGGAGAAGTTGTCAATGAAAAGGTTAGTTTAAAACAAGCATAGCTTAAGGTATTTAAATGTCCAATGTCCATTATGGTTGCAAGTTAATGTATTTTCTAACTGAAACCTTAAGTCTCTTGTTTTTTCTTTCATTTAAGAATTCCTCTGGTTGTTTCGTCTTGATTATCTCTGTGTTCATAATTTTTATCCATAAAGAGACTATTTTTATTGATAGAAAATGTAATTTATCTACTAAAGAACCAAACAAAATAGAGCCTCTAATTCTCTTCTTAGTGTTACTAAATCAAGGACAACGTTGACAGAAGCAGTAGGATAGGTGAGGCTCTTGCTACCCCTCAATCTGACTGTTACACAGTCCTCCACATTTACAGTGATGGTAACATCTGGAGTCCTTTCCATGCGTATTTTTGTGATTTTCATGAGAGGATGTTTGTTACTGAATAAATATGTATCTTGTTACATGTCAAGGAATAATTGGTTAAAATTGGGATTTCATATGTACCATTTCTTTTGTAGCTGCTGATTAATACTATATTGTTCATCCAAAATACAGCTTACACAACCTGTAATATGTATTCTGTTTCCCATTTGCAAAAGTTCTGATTTTTCTTGTTTTGCTTTAAAAGGAATATTTAGTGAAAATAAATACGTGTAACAGCAGATAAAACTTAGGCAGCGCTGATAAACATGGCAACTAAGATAAGGACAAACTACAGTACTGAAGCTATGTTACAACAAAGAACTTAAGTGAGCTATTTGAGCACAGAAAATCTCCTGTAATCAAACAATTACTAAACAGGCTGTGTCTGCATAACCTTTCTTTTAGTTGTAGGACCACCTACATAGTTGTATATGTTAACTGTTTTTTTTCTGGATAGGTGCCAATGTTATGCTTGAGCTTTAGAAAATGTGCAACTATAATTGGTATGAGCTAGCTACTCCAGTGGGCCTCAGAACAGCTCATTTTGAGTTGCTCAGCATAACCTGTTACTAGACTTCTTCATATTCAGTTGCTCATCCTTTTGGCCTAAATTTTCCAGACTAGGTAACTTCTTTAATTTTATCCAGAATTCCAAGAAAAAGGCTGGGAAAATTTTGCATTTATTTGAAAGTAATTGCATGTAATAAAGCATTCTAACATTTTCAGATACATACGCATAGCTTTTTCAGTTTTCACTGGTAAATTTTATCTGTAAAAATGTAAGGCAGAAGTTATAAATTGACCAATACTCTCTCCATTTTAAAGAATGATTTTTAAAAGTGGGTATCCTTTATTTTCAAAGTAACTGGTGTAGACATCTGAGGTTTGTATTAAATTAGCATACAGATTTCAAACACATCCTAATAAATCCTTTTTTAGTTTGAAGTAGAAGTTCATGGATAGTAGCAATATTATTTTTTTTCTTTTTTTTTTTTCCTTTTTCTTTGTTTCCAGGCCAAAACCCACGTCCTTGATATAGAACAACGACTGCAAGGTGTCATTAAGACTAGAAACAGAATAAAAGGATTACCCTTATCTATTGAAGGACATGTTCATTACCTTATTCAAGAAGCAAGTGATGACAACCTGCTCTGCCAGATGTATATGGGCTGGGCTCCATATATGTGAAATTGTTCACTTTGGAACAACACCATTCACAAGTGATGTAGCTGTAATATTCTTGAGAAGGTATTAACCAAAGATAACTGGTTACTTCTGTTGATTTCTGATTGTAAGCAGCAGAACAGTGTTATGTTCAATCAAAATCTATGTAAAATATACCAAAACGCAAGTATGTTACGAATATACTTGCAGATGTGTAAGGTGTTATGACTTAGGTTTTGTATACATATAGAAGGCAGTACATAGAAACTGCTTAAAAATTAGACTGCGCAAGACTCTGCAAGTTTCTTACTCTGACTATATGAAAAATTTTCACAGTGTTGACAGAATGCACTCTAACTACTGTATATATTTGTAAAGATTTTTCTCATTCAGCTTGTAGATTAGAAAATCTGACATTAAAGTTTTATACTGATATGATGTACAGTGGTTCTTTCAACTTTTTCTACTCATAGTTCAGAAGGGCTTTCTAAAAATAATTAGTGTTTCTTTTCAGCAGTAGACCTTGAATTTTGATTTCCTTTGACTTTCTTCCATATGGCCTGGCTATGTGTAGAAGAGCATGTGGGATCTTAAATCTTACTATGAAGAAACTGGTAAAGTGTTACAATGTTCTGAAACTTGTTTCCTTAGCCCTTGCCAGCTGTGCCAAGAAACCCTCCTGAAACAAATGACACAAAGCTGCAAGTTAGAGGACCCCGGCAGTATAGCCGTAACACCAGTGCAGCAGGCAGGGTATAGTACCTGTGACTTTAATATACATTCAGGCTCCTAAGACTTATGGACAGGCCCTCTCTTCCTTCCCTTGTAAAAAATGTGGCCATAGTGAGTGTTTTTCAGACTCCATTTCAGAAAAGCTGTTTTAACATGGACAGGAGTAGACTAGCTAAATATGTTCAGAATGGCGTATGCAAGTAATGCTTGCTTCTCTAGGCATCCAAACTATATAGGGAAGTGAGGGGGTGGAGAAGGAAAAATTATACTCCTGTACCCTACGATAGGATATCATTACAACTTTTATACAGTATTTTTGTTTCTGCTCTTCTGAGAGACAAACAATGCCATTGCAGCGATGCTGTGTCGTGAGATTCAAGTTTTAGTTCAGCTAACTCCAGACGCTTTGGAGAGTAAACTTAAATAATGGGTTTACGACTGGTTATAGTGGTTTTGTTTCTCTGTGGAACTGGGGGGTAGTCTTCTGTAAGCCTTGTGCCTGTCTCATAAAGCTTTTTCCAAGTAAGGTCTTCGGGCCCTACTCTGATCTTTTCTGTGGTGGTGGTGTGTGGGAGTGCTTCACCGGCTTTTCCCTTGTACCACAGCGCGCAGCGACCCTCGCAGGGAACGACTGCACCAGGTACCGCTAAGGGAGTTACTGCTTCCCGTCACTGCCCTCCTGAGGGCACGGAGGCGCGCGGGGGGCGGGGCTGGCCGGGGCCGGGGCCGGGGCCGCGGGACGCTGCTTCCCGCCTTCAGTCCCAGCGGCGGGTGGAGCTCGCCCAGCCGCCGGATGGGGGAGGAAGCGGGCGGGACGACGGTGATGCCTGAGGGCGGTGGCGCCGCTGGAGGGAGGGAGCCAGCCCCCGCCCCGCCCCGCGCCCGCAGCGCCGCTCTGTCCGCCGCTCTCTATGGTCGGCGCGGAGCGCTCTGGGCGGCGCTCTGTGGCGCGGGCGGCCTGGCTGTCAGTACGGCGCGCCGGAAGGAAGGCGGAGCGCGGCCCGGGGTTGTTTGGGTCCGGCGGGGCTGTGAGGGCGGCGGGTAGCGGTGGCCATGGGGGTCCCCAAGTTCTACCGGTGGATCTCGGAGCGGTACCCCTGCCTCAGCCAGGTGCTGAAGGAGCATCAGGTGAGCTGGGAGCGGAGCGCCGCTGCCCGCCGGGGGCCCGTCCCCGCTCCGCGCCGGGGCGGAGGAGAGGGATCCTGACCGGCCCCTCGGCGGGGCGAGGGAGGGGGCCTGGTCCCCGGCCGGGCTGGCGGGGCCGAGCCGGAGCCGAGAGGCCGGCTCGCCGAGAGACGGGTCGGCGCGGGGCGGGCGGCGGCGCCTGCGGCCGCGCCTGGGCGAGCCCCGCAGCTCCAAGTGGCCGAAAGTCGCGGGCCGGCGGCGTGCGGTCGCTGGGAAACGGGCGAGGCTTTCGGAGCCCCCTGAGAGGAGAGCCTGAACAGCCGACCGGAGGTCGTCGCTGGCGTACGGCGGTGCCGGGAGCCTGCAGCTGGGGGTCAGCGGCGCAGGTGTTTGTCCTGCTCGTTACGTGCGAGGAATGTCTTCAGAGGCACCCGAACCGCAGCCACGCTGTTCTGGAGGAGGTGCCCAGCCCGGAGCGTTTCCCCGCAGCGTGGCGGTGTCCGGCTCCCTACGGCCGGGTTTTTGTTTCCTTTTTCTCTTTTTTCTTTTCTCCTTTCGCTTTTGTTTCCCCGGCGGCCGCCCTCCTCCCCAGCCCGCCCGGAACTCCACTGTGCTTCCTCGGCACCTGGCGGCCCTTCACCCCCCTCGCGTAGCAGAAGGTCGGAGTTTCCTCGTTATTGGCCCAGGAAAGTTACTGTTGCTGACGACGAATGGCACAGTAATGACAAGGGACAGGTTTTACAGCTCTGCTGCGTTTCCTTGTTGTCACACGCGTCAGATGGTTTGTGTTATTTGCAAAACCGAGAAGTATGTTGAAGTCTGGAAAAGGAAAGCCGCAAATAATACTTTTAACAGTCAGGTAAAAAAGTCTTGTTTTCAGGGAAATCACGTTTGGTACCTGTTCAGACGCAAGCTCTTAACTTTTCATTATCACTTTCTACTGGCGTTATGGATATAGTTTTATGATCTGAATAAGGATGTTCTGAGATTAGTTGGGTGAGGACTGAAGGCAAGTTTGAGTGAATACATTTTTCCTAAACAGCATTTTAAAAGATTAAATAGCTGTTCTATCAATGTATCTAAGATGCCCCGCTCAAGTGGATGTTTGGCTTTTCTAGTTTCAAAGCAGTTTTCAAAGGTTAGGTGTTTGCTTATGATTTGTTGGATTTCACTACGCTGTCTTACATTGTCTGTGTAGCAAGCAGCAGCAGTGTATGCTGGCTTTTCAGCTGTTTTGTTAAAAGCCTGGGCTGCTCACGGAAATTGGTGGCAGCTTTAAACTTCTGCTGAAGAACTGTGGCAAGCTGAGGAGTCAGCATGTGTCTGCTGTAACCAGGGGGATAGCAGTGGGGGGGGTGGTACCCATGATGCTTTCTGAAAGAGACTGTTAGAGCTCTTAAGATAAACAGAAAGCACAACTCAACCTTAAGTATGCTAATGTCATTTTCTAGTTAGTCTGTCTAAAGACTAGATGATGTTGTTAGTTTATATGGAATATTTACTCTGTGTAAAAGAGAAAAGAAAATGTCTAGATTATTTTCTGTGGTATTAAGCTTCAACAGTAGCCATGTATCCCCATTCTTCCTTTTCTCTGCCAGGCCACTTGAATATACACACTGACACAGACTAGCATCTAGATTAGTTTTTCGTTTGGTATTACAGAAAAAACTACCCAGAATAAAAGGCAATTCCTATGTAAAACACATCATTATTTTTAAATAATATAATATCTGTGCTTCTTAAAAGGTCATCTGTTTTCCATATATATGTTGCTTCCATAAAAAAGCTTTAGTTTTCATCTCTTTAGAATGCTGCCTGTGCGGTACCCCACTCTCTTCGTATCTGAAAGTGGTGCCTGCGTGGCTGATGTTTGAGCATGTTGAGAGCAGTTTGGTTACTGAATTTAACTGTACTGAAGATCATTGTGCACAACAGAAGACTAGTTGTCACGGGTGATGGGAGATCCTTCCCGATCCTGCCTCTTGTTTCTTCTCTTCATCATTCCTCCTTCTAAAACAGTTATGTTTCTCTTGCATTTGGGCGATAAATACAAGTCCTTTCAAAATTATGTAAAGATAAGTCAGCAGCAATACTACAGAAAATCAAGAAAAGTTAGCAGTGCCTTTTTCCAGTTGTAACGACAGGAGGATTTTTATGAGCAGTCAGATTGGTGGATTAAAGAATAGATTTGTTTATTTCAAATTGCTCATGTGTATCTTTGGTGTTTTTTGTTACCATAAAGGTAGATAATGGTCCCTTTCCTTCATACCTTCAACGGTGTATGTGCTGTATATGTTGCTTGTGTACATTCGGCAGAGGGGTTTTTCCTTTAAAAGGGAGGTAGACTACTACAGATCAGGTTCTTAGAACAGAGAACTAGACAGAAAAAAAACATGTTTGGAAATCATTGGAAAGAAATTGATGTTATCATTGATAATTCTGCTGCTTTTGCTGGTAATTGCCATGCTCTAGAATCACAGGTGGCTCTTAGCATAGCTAAAGAGGCAGCATGCAGTGGTCATGGTAGGAGTTGGTTAACAGGGGGAGAGCCTTAAAGCTTCTTAAGCTAACTTTGCTTTTGAAATACTGTTGGAAACTGCATACTCAGTTTTGTAGGTTTTGTTTATAGTGCGTCTATGCAAGATTGAATCAGTGAAATGTGTGGGGTTAGGAAAAAAAAAATTATCTCTTCTTGAGAAGTGTGATTAAGTGTGACTTTTATTTGCTTTTTCCTTATACAATGTAGAAGATTGGCCGAGCACAGGGAACAGAAGTCCTGAGGTACCAGAAACAGTCAGGATAGGATAGGAATCTGTTCAGCTGACTTTCTTCACTGGGAAATCATAATAATGGATTGTAAGTGCCGACAAACCCGTAACCAGTCAAGATACTCCTAACCCATTGGTGTGCAGTAGGTTCCAGGAAGGTCTTCGCACCTCAGCTCCTTTTCTCAGCCATGCCTTGCTTCATCTGTCACCAAATCGGTACTAACTGTGGCTTTTGTAGATTCCAGAATTTGACAACTTATATCTGGACATGAATGGCATTATACATCAGTGTTCACATCCAAATGATGATGATGTTCACTTCAGAATCTCAGAAGATAAGATTTTTGCTGATATTTTTCACTATTTGGAAGTGCTGTTTCGCATTATTAAACCAAGGAAGGTTTTCTTCATGGCAGTTGATGGAGTAGCTCCAAGAGCAAAAATGAATCAGCAGCGTGGGAGACGTTTTAGGTGAGAGTATTTGTTCTTGTTCTGTCTTTAGGATAGTAAACACTTTAAAAAAACCATTTACTTAAGTGTATGCCATGAAAAGTAAAATATATTGTGAGTGGTTGTGCCTTTGACAGAAGCTTTAATTTATAGTTAAATGAGGGTAACTACCTGTAAAACGTTAACACTTGAAATCAGGATTCAAAAAAGGAAAGTTTGCTTGTTACTTAGACTTTTCTTGGTGTATGTGGGATGTGGGGGTGGGAGGCGGGGCTTTTTTCCTATGAAATTTTCTGTGAAATAAATCTGCAGTGGAGCTCTTACAGATCTCTCCAACGGCTTCATAACCTGTGAGAGTCTTTGGTATTTGTGAATGCTAATTCTAGATACACCGTTTTGGTAACTATAATGGAATGTTCTTTGACAGTCATAGAAGAAATGAAGTTTCTAATGAAACTCTGATTTCCTGTTGATACCGGTTAGCAACCTAGCTCAAATACAGAGCTGCAAGTAGATTTCATAGTGTTAAGAATTATGTTAATGTTTTGGGAGACATGGAATACTTTGACGACTGCTGTAGGGAAACCAAGCCAGTGGTTAGACAGCACAGGGGTGGTGAGTGAAATGCAACAGAAACAAACTGGGGGAAAGGGACAAGAGAAAATATTTTCAAGCTACTGGGGTTTTTTCTGGTTTTGGTTTTTGGTTTTCTGTGGGTGGGGTTTTTTTAAGGAAAAAAGGAGGTTGTGACAAAGAAGAGATTAAGAAAGTTCTAAACAGAAAGTTGGTGTAGAATTGAGAGAAGGAAAAAAATCTAAGACATTTTCTGCTTCAAAAGTGGTTATCCTTGGCCAAGAAAGGGTAGGGTGATATTTTTTGTTCATTTCTCCATTATTAGTGATGATAAATTGTTAGTTCACTCCTCCTACCCCAGTGGTATTCCAAACTTGCTGCTTTGTTTAACTACATTAACATTATTGTTCTGGGACAGCATTTTCAGATGTTTAGAATCTGAGTATTCCTACCGTTTCAACATTAATTTGCTTTCATTGTGGTTAGCCATTGAAGGATCATCTTGGTAATCTAAATATTAACTGTATCTGAGTAATGACAGTTTATCATCATTACTGGAGGGGGGAAAAAAAAAAAGCTATTTTTAAGCCTTCCTATTGTATCAGAAACAAGTTCAGACTATTAAGGAGTTAAATGTCCGCGTGTGTGTGTGTGTCCCTTTAAACACTCTTCAGAAAATCAACTGTGTATTTTGTCAGTAAAGCTATACTTAGGATATTAACGTTTGAATAAGGTGATTCTTTGTCTACTCACTCTCTCCAACCCTGTTTTGTTCTAGATCAGCAAAAGAGGCAGAGGACAAAATAAAAAAGGCATTAGAAAAGGGAGAAATTCTCCCTACAGAAGCCAGATTTGACTCCAACTGTATTACACCAGGTAAGATAATCTGTTAATTATTTAAATTTAGGTGTTTAGATTTATGTTTTTTCATCTATATTTTGGCACTATTTTCCTATCCTAAAGCATTTTTTTTTTAAATTAGAGGACAGAATCAATAAAGGGTCAAGTAAGTTGGGAACACAAGTTTCAATAACTTTTAGTAGGGTTGGAATACTGTCTCTTTCTAAACATTTTTTAGATTGCTATGGAAAAAATGAAACCTCTTGGGGAAAAAACCCAGCTGTCCCCTTCATCTCTTGCAAAATTTTTGCTTGTTGGGTTTTTTCATTGATACTTTTGATATGTAAATGCAATTTTGAAGGACTAGTGAAAAGCTTTGTGGTTTAACTTAGAGTTCTGTTTTCAGGAACTGAATTCATGGCCAGACTGCATGAGCATCTTAAATATTTTGTAAATATGAAGATTTCCACAGACAAATCCTGGCAAGGAGTAACAGTCTACTTATCAGGCCATGAGGTCATTGTATTTTATTAATATTTTATTTTAAATAAATTTTTATGTTATAGAAAAATACTTACTGATAAATTTTGGGATTTTTTGTGCAGACTCCAGGGGAAGGTGAGCATAAAATTATGGAGTTCATCAGATCAGAAAAAGCAAAGCCCCATCATGATCCAAACACAAGACACTGTCTCTATGGCTTAGATGCTGACTTGGTATGTGCAGTTAAAATAATACAGACAACAAAACTTTATAAAGTGTGTATGTCTTTGTCTTCCTAAGCATATAGGATTCTAAAAGGTTATTAAACAAGCATGTAATTTTGTATTCCTGCAAACTTTTGAATTTGTAATGAAACAACAGCAAAATTTCTTTATGCTCGAATCTTGGGTAACAGTTTAAAAAAAAAAACAAAACGTGAAGTAAGACCTTTCTAATATTTCTTTGTAATAGATTATGCTGGGATTAACAAGTCATGAGGCACACTTTGCGCTCTTAAGAGAAGAAGTCAGATTTGGTGGTAAAAAATCTCAAAGGTGAACTGATTTAACTTTTATTTTATATATGATGAAATTAAATCTAAAATATACTGGGTCACTAAAACGGGGGGGTATTGATTGCATACTAAATTAACAAAATATTAGTGTATTTTTTTGTTAGAAAGTACATGAAATTAGAGAAATCAACTTGTGAAATTGTGCATTTGAATTAGTTTACACAAGAAAATGTATGTTGTCAAGACAGCTGATAAAAAAAATCCTTAGAGCTTTGGTGTGTTGTGCTTTCTTCATATTATGAATGGAGCAGCCCAGGCTGTACTGACATTGTTTCCATAATTGTCTTATGCAGATATTGACTATTTAAAATATATTTACAACTCTGAGATTTTGTGCTTGTAAGTAAATTACTAGAAAATTGCTAAAATAAACTCTCTTAAAGTGGCTGACTGGATGCTCTTTTTCTGGATTTGACCATTTGAACTAACTTGTGGGCTATAATTGTCAGAAAAAGGTGATTAGTTCCAGAACTGTGCATGTACATGGAGCTATTCTGAAGTAATAGAAAAATTAATTTTATAATTTACTGTGGCCAGGTTCCTTCTTTGAAGAACCTTAAGTATATATTTGGTGGATATAGGGAGAAGGTAGGAGAGACAGGGAGAAATACACTTTTTTGATACAAAAAGGATTTTGGATAATACAGTGATAAGTCATAAAAATGTTTAGATAAATGCATCATTTTTGCTAATATACAAATGTTTTTATTGCTAAAGACAATATGATAAACATCAGAAATAAGTATTCTTTTCATAGTCTTCCACAGTCAACTTTTCACTGACTCATTCTGTTGATAGTGTTGGCAAGTAACATTGTAATGTTTTTAAAAGACCTTAAGTCTAACAAAAGAAAAATGTCATTTTTCCCTTTTTAAAAAATAAAATAATATAAAACAAAAGTGTGATGGCCTTTTGAGGGATTAATTAAATAAAATATGAAATCAAAAGGCAAGGTGTCTTTTTTTTTTTTTTTTTTTTTTTTTCCCCTCAAGCATTGTTCCATATTTGGCTCCTTTTGTAATTTCTGGATAATACTGCTCATTACAAGAATTTACTTCTGGAAGTTACAGGATCTGTCTTCTGTCAATATTGTCACTTTTATGAGTACGTACAGTTGGAAATTTAAAAATACTAAAAATACCTACAAACTATTATCTGTCAGCAGTTTCTTGATTGAGAGAAATTATTTGTTTAATCAAGATTTTCAAGTCCAGTGCAATGAAGAATAAGGGGCAAAATGTCTCCAGAGTCTTAGAGCATCAACCTGTATTTGCCAATATGAAAATTACGTTTAAAAAGAGACAGAATTGGGTCTGAAGTTCTGTGCAGTCAGGTGTAGCTCAGAGTTCGTCTTAGTAGTCTTCGTATAAGCTTGTGTATCACTCACATCTTCCTCAGAGGATTTTGGCCAATATCTGCTGTGCATGTGCGAATACACAGGTGTTTATGCTGGTTTGTCATTGGAGGTAGTCCTAGCTAGTTACAGTCTCTACAAGGTGAAATAGTCCTTTACAAATTTAAAATACAGTAGTCTTTAGCTCATTAATCTTTTGGTGTATCTATTAACTGATTTTGACCTAATCTTGGCTTAGGTATTAAGTAATTTTAGTGAAGAGAGGAAAAGAAGGCAGAATATATGTTGACTAATTTATGCCATAAACAAACAGTAGGTTTGCTGTTGTGTTTTTTTGTTTGGTTTTTTTTTCTGGTGCTGTGTTGAAGCTACTAGATAATACATATGGAGCATATTTTCAAGTTGCGCGTATTCTTTTCTTACCAGAAGCATTTCAAATGACTGCAAATGTAACTCAGCCAGTTTAGACATGAATGTGTGTACTCTGTGTGTAGTCAGAGTAGTTCTAAAATACCTTAAAATTTATTGGGTTTGGTGTGGTTAGGTTAGGTTGTCCCTTTTTTGGACAATGGGATAATTTCTTAGGAAATAGTTAATGCAACATGGAACTCCACAAAGCTACCCTGCTTTCTCTAACCTAGCTATTTTCCGTAAGTTCAGGCATATCTTCTGTTTAGAAGGTTCTACTGCATAATTTTATAGGCTCAAACCAGATGAATCCTAAAATAGATTCAAAGGAATGTTTATATATTATTTCTTCTGCAAAAATATAATCCTAGTAAGGTTACTTGGTTTTAGGTAACCTTGGACTTATTATAAATAATTAACTTAATGTTTTAAATAATTTACAGAGCATGTGCACCAGAGGAAACCACGTTTCATTTACTGCACTTATCACTGATGAGAGAATATATTGATTATGAATTTTCACCAGTAAAAGTAAGTTCTAATGGAGCTGTGATTGAAAAAAGTGTGTGAGGTCTTTTTATGCAAACACAATAATAAAAATTATACTCCTGTGGTTTTTTGCTTTTTTTCCTTTTGTTTTCCCCCAGGACAAGATTTCCTTTGAATATGATATTGAAAGGATAATAGATGATTGGATCTTAATGGGTTTCCTTGTAGGAAATGATTTTATTCCTCATCTACCTCATTTACACATCAATCATGATGCACTGCCGCTACTTTATAGAACGTACATGGCTATCTTGCCAGAACTGGGAGGTAGGAACACTAAGTTCAGTTGTGGAAAGTAGAAACATTAATATTCCTGCATTAATATTTGTTGACCTTTTTAGCCATGGTAGAATGTTTAGCATTTATTACACTTTCTTTAGACAGCCAGCAAGATTGCATGCTATTATATGTGGGGCATTTAAATTGAAATTCTAAAATTGTTATATAGTTAATTTAAAAAAACATACTCTATCTTTCCAATAGGTTACATAAATGAAAATGGGCATCTGAATTTAAAACGCTTTGAGAAATATCTCACAAGACTGTCAGATGTAAGTGACTTCAAAATTGCTCTGTATAGAATGGTATAGTCTATTGAATATAACCTCAATATAGTGCCCTAAAATACATCATGCTGTAGTTTTAATGAACTGTTAAATGGCTGTGTTTTACAAGTGGTTCAGTCAGCTGATTTATCATTTAACTGATGGGATCCAATCCATTTTTGTCTGATATTATCATAACATAAGAGGAAAAAGATTGAATCATTTGATCTATGCTTTAGCCAGCGACTTTTAGTACTGCAAGTCAAATGAGAGTTCACCAGTAGAATCATGGTTCTCAGTTTTCATTGAATAATGAGCGGCAGTACTGGCTGGGCAAAGTGTGCTGCAGGCAGCAATATTCTTTGCTTCCCCTGCTGGTCTGTTTCTTGTGGGGTAAGCTATGTCTGAAGATCTTGGAAAGCAGTATCTTTTACAAGTTTTTTATGAAGATCGCTGGTAAAGAGCAATGAAGCATTATTATCTCTCAGAGGCAGGCATCACCATTCTTCATGAACTAACTGGCATACAGGAGGCAGTCCTGTTAAGTGCCACTGCAGTAATGCATCCTAGAGATGAGAAAAGGTATAGGCCATATAGAAATGAAAAGATCTCAGCCTTCTGCTGAACTTGGAAAGAGGAAGTTCATCTGTTCCTGCTTCAGCCTTGTCTTCTGATTCTTGGGGAGAACTATGAAAATGTTGGGTGTGTGGCACAAGACTGTATTACTATATACGTCTACTACGTCTAGAGTTGTTAGTGAAGTGTGGAAGTTTTCTAACTCTTTTTGTTACCCATTGCTGCCTTACTGAAAGAAAACAAAATATGCCTTGGGTTTATGTTATATATTGCTAAGAAAAAAGATTTCTTTTAATATTAATCTGTTAGTTTAGTTGTAGCTCTAGGGCAAAATGTTTATGTACTAAATGACTCTAGATGTAATCTAATGCACGTACTAAAAAGAGTTAATTTAGCACTCTAAATCTGGCATCTCTCAAATATTTCTAAACTTATTTTAATCTTTCTGCACAGTTTGATCGTGAACACTTCAGTGAAGTCTTTGTAGACCTAAAATGGTTTGAAAGTAAAGTAGGCAATAAATACCTCAATGAGGCAGCTGGTATTGCAGCAGAGGAAGCCAGAAAAAATAAACAAAAGAAACAAAAGGTTAGTGTTTTATATGCGCAGTTTTGGAATAAGAATGTTACTTTTTGAAAATCAATAATTTAATCTTAGACAAATTAAATGGCATAAACTTCTGTTTTGAGATTTTTTGAGATCAGAAAAGATAGTTAAATGTAACATTTGAGGAACTGCCTGTATGCATTGCTGGGTGTGAGTGATGAAATCGTTAAGTCAAGGTCAGGTTCTCATGATTTTTGAAATCTTGCAAACCTGTAACTTAATGCTTTATGTCAATTTATCTGTTCCTCAACAGCAGCAAAACTTACTTCTGGGTGAGTTACTGTCAAACTTGCTATGCTTTATAATTTTACTTCTCAATGCATAGGCTGCTGGAAGTTTTATATATTTCAGATAGACTGATAGATCATTCATGCATATCTTGGTATTGGCTGACTATTTGACAATGAATAGATAAATGGCAAATTCATTGGTGTGAGCTATCTCAGATTGGTTATTACACTTGCAATTCTAGATATACCTAATTAATAAGGAACAGCACCTTTCTCTGTATCTTGACTCTGCCCTGCTGTCATGTTCCCTACCACCACCTCCATTGGCTATCCTTCAATACATGCCTTCAGCAGAGTGTAGAGTAGCAGCAGGAAATTCCTTCAAGTTTAATCTGTCACTGTATATTGTTATCCTGTTCTTTAGTGCAGTTCGTGGTTTGTAAGAGCAAGATGTTAGCTCTTCCTTTAATAAGGTATGCTTTATTTGTGGTTGTTTTCTTATTTGCCACAGAAGTTTGGAGCAGCTGTATAGTATTAGCTAGCCATCTTGACTGATCCTTTGAATGGCAGTGACAGTCAGGAGCTTGCATATCTCAGGTACAGGGGAAGAGGGCCAACTTAATGATTCTGCTTATTGAAAGCTACTCAATGCTGTACACAAAAGATGGTGTGTGGTGTGAGAATGAAGTAAACGTTTGGCTTGTTTGACTCTCTAAAACACAATTTCTTGTATACTTACTTCCCACAAAAGTAATTTGAACTTTAAAAATTTACTGATGAAAAGTTTGACTGTGTACTGGTGCTGTAGCACAATGTATGATGTAGGTAAAAATGCTTAAACGTGTACTGCGCAGTTTTGGAAGTAGTTGTATTTTGGAAAGCAAATATTCAGGTATTTTTTTTAAAGGTAGTTGAGATTTTATTTGAGACTGCTCCTTTGTTTGATCTGTATGGAAAAAATAATTTTCCCTAGGCAATTACAAGAGAAGGAAATGTAGTGGGTTTTATACTAAATAATAATAATCTTGATACATCTTGATTATAGCATTTTGAGTTGCAGATTATATGGTTGTGCATGAGGTATGTGCGTATTATTCTGTATTTTTACTTCATCTCAAATATTAATTTAATAGGCTCAGGAAAATTCTATGTGTTTGGCTGCTTTAGAGAAAAACGAAGGTGAAGTGACCCCTAAAAGTAAGTACAAATAATTTTTCCATATACATATAACAAAAAAACCTCGTTAATTTGTGTATAGATTTGGAAGATCTGTAAGAATGTCATGTCAGAGATGACCTTAATCTAAATGAAAGAGTTATGTAGTCAGCTATCGGCGAATGGAACTGCACATCGCTGGCTTATGGTGAGAGGGAGTGGGGCTAAAGCTTTTGAAGTGCTTCTTACCTGACCAGTATTTCCATGATGAATTAAAGGGATGAATGAGCAAATCTTAAACAACATTATGGTTTTGATAAGTGTATGCCTAGGTATTTTGTTACACAGGTGCGGACAAATGAACAGATTTTTATATGGCTTTGGGATTTTTGGTTGTGTTGATTATGTTTTTAAACTCATTCCACTTGTAGGAAATGTCTTTTGCTCATGTTTTGAAATTTAATGTCAAAAACATATAAATATTACTCCATGATATAAGATGATGTTGCTGGAAAAAGATTAAATTTTATAATTTATTTTAAAATTTTCTTAAATTATTTTCTGATGGCTTATATTCTCTTCTCTGTTCTTGTAATTGGACTACAAAATGGGTTGCCTGTCTTTAAAGGAAAAAAAGTTCTAGCTTTTCTCTGGGTAAAGATTTTGTTTGATTATTTCATGTTACTTTCAGTGCAAGGAAGGTATGAGCACCTGTAACTGTGAATTGAGGAATAAAGTTAAGGCATTAAGTCAAAACTGAATGTCTTTAAACCTTATTGTAGCAGAGAAGTGAATGTTAATTTTTTTTTTTTTTTTCCCATGACTGCTTTTTCAGCTGTGTTGGAAGATGAACCAGAAGATGATGATCTCTTTGAAACTGAATTTAGGCAATACAAAAGAACTTACTACATGACTAAAATGGGTGTAGAAGTAGTTTCTGAGTAAGTGTATGCTTTTTTCTTTTTTTTTTCTTTTTTTCTTTAAACACCAAAGATAAGTCTTTGCATATGTCTAACTCTATGTCTAGAATATTCATCCATGTCAAAAGCAGAGAACACACAGCAGCATACTGCAGTGGTGATGCTTTTGGTTAATGAAAGAAGAGCTGCAAGTCAAGTTTTCTGTAACAAGTATTTGAGGACCAGAGAGAAAAAATCCATTAGTGTTAAATGAATCTAGAAAACCATGGTCTCATTGGGTTCCCAAAATGCTCTGTCTTCATTCCTATGTACAAGGTGCTAAGTAATTTTTATATACCAGTGAAAATGACAAAAAATAATAAGTATCTTTCCTGTTTCTTTTAAGTGACTTCTTGGCTGATCAAGCTGAATGTTATGTTCAGGCAATACAATGGATTTTGCATTATTATTACCACGGAGTTCAATCATGGAGCTGGTAAGAAAAATTGTCAAATGAGAAATTGCTTCAAGATCAAGCGGTGTTTCACCTTACATGCTGTGAACGTTTAATGTAGTTCTCTTTGTTTCTGATCTGTGAACGCTGCTGTGCTATAATTAAGTGAAGTAACTTAAGAGGGCTTTTTTCTCTGCAGGTATTATCCTTATCATTATGCACCTTATCTGTCAGATATTCATAACATCAGTGAACTCAAAATCAAATTTGAACTGGGAAAACCTTTCATGCCATTTGAACAGCTTCTTGCTGTACTTCCAGCAGCTAGCAAAGATCTCCTACCTAAATGCTACCAGGTGGGATTTAGAATTAAGTTGCATTTATCTATTGCTTATTGGTTGTCTGCTTTATTCTGAAGTGATTCTTTTCTTAACATTTTTGCATGTCCTCTTAGTTATGTTCTAACTCAGAATTTTAGGTGTATGGTTAAATACTTCTTACTGTTCTTAGTACATTGTAAAGTTAGTAATAAATACAAAATTTTGCATTTGCTAAGCAATTTCAGACTAGGACAGTTAAATGATAAATGTTGAATTCCTGTTCAGCCTTGAAATTGGTTTTAATACCAGCCTTCCTCTCTCTCTTCCTAGAATTAGTGCTAAATTGTCTCTGATATTTTTTAATTCCTCTGTTGTATTTTCCTAGCATTTGATGATTAGTCAAGACTCTCCTATTATAGAATATTATCCACCAGATTTTAAAACTGACTTAAATGGAAAACAGCAAGAATGGGAAGCTGTAGTATTAATCCCATTTATTGATGAGGTAAGTTCTTTCAACATCTGCTGTCTATAAAGGCTTCATAACAAATCTGCTAAACTTAATTAACAGTTAAACATGCAATTAAATGGAAGTTTAAATTAACACTTGATCAGACCACAGAAAAATATAAATGTTTGCTGCCTGGAGAGTAAGGCTAGATTAAGTTACCACAAAGTTAGCTTCAAGTGGTAGAAGTCCTAAGTAAGGGATGTGGACTTTTTGTTGTTTGTTCATGTTTTTCATCAGCTATTCAAATATTTATTTTCTTTGAGAAAAAAATTCTATTCCTATTTACATACAAAAATACAGAATGTCTGTAGGTAAAATAAAAGAAACACTTGAAAAAAACCCCAGTCTTTTTACAGAACATCTCTTCACATGAACACCAGTAATGGGTAGAAGGCTTCAATAACAAATTAAACAGTAAAACATTAATGGAGAGGAATAAAATAGTAACATTTTTCTTTTGCATATAGGATAACAGTATTATATACATTTTTGTAATATCTTTTATCAGATTAAATTTGAGCACATCAAAGAGTGGATGAAAATAAAAGTGCAGATTAGATGTTAAGATATATACAGGTGGTAGCTTGTGCCTGTCGATTGTTTCCATAGTTCCCAGTGAAAGGTTGACAGGACTTAATCTTTTCACAAAAGACAATAGTTGCTACTTGAATGACCCATAAGTTTTTGAAACTTTTTCAACAGTTAATTTGCAGAATTTTATGGCAACATCTAAAATCTTTTTAATATTTCTTTGTATGTTAAATGTAAAAGGCAAAATATGGCTAGTCTTTGGAAACAGACTTGCAAAAAGGCAATCCTTATTCTCCAAAGCCATTCCATTGTAATTGTCCTATTTTTATCAGAGAGCTGGGACATGAAGAAGGGTGAGGCTGCAATTAGAAAATTAATACATTAACCAGAAAAGTGCGGGTATCTGCTTTCCCAATGAAGATGTTTCCGTGATAATTTTTGTTGCCAGTTTCACATACGCTAATTTCTCTAAAATTTAGAAACGACTGCTGCAGGCCATGGAATCCTGTAATAAGTACCTAAAAGAAGAGGAGAAACGAAGAAATACTCACAGTGCTTGCTTAATGTACTGGTATGACAAAGATGCAGAGTTCCAGTACATGTCACCATGGCCAGAGAAATTCCCTGCAGTAGAAAGATGTCATACGAGGTAACACTGGCATAACTATTTTAGAGTAGACTAGAAGTAGTTAGAATACTTATTAGCATTTTAACCAAAGCTTGTATATGCCACTATATACACCAAAAAATGTAAAATGTTGGATTAGATATTACTTGTTGTAGATGGCACAGTAAAAGTCTTTGTCCCTTTTCTTCAAATGTTACTTTGCAGTAAGATGAACAGATGAACTAATGTTAAGTTGGCAAGAACACCCTAGAGAATTATTAAACTTTGTATGACACAGAGGATGAAAAACTGGTACAAATATCTGGTAATAGTGGTAATTTATCAACACACTAATTCCAGACCATTTGTAAAAAAATGTAAGCGTTTGGATCCAGTGCAGAGAGTTGAACACAAGTGTGTTTTTCAGTTTCCTCTCACTGAAAGTAGCCAGCTTTATTTAACATAGGCTGAGGTTTCAAGATTAAATGGAAACATAACCTCAATAGTAGTCAAACGTAAAGCAAAATAGAGGAGAAATGCGTGTTGCAGGATTACACTCAGTGAAGAATGAATGGTTCTGAAGATGAATGATACCATATGGAACCATTGCTAGTTTAGAATTTGACAATAACAGTGAATTAAAATAGTGAGTTTGGGACACACCGTGGCTTGAAGTTTTGTCTTTTTCTTAATGAGTAGTCTCTTTGCAGCAATAGCATGAGTTTTTTATAGTCCTTTGTACAGATGCCAAGTGGCTTAAGTTAATTGTCACCTTACAGGAAAGTCAAAGGGTTTGTCAATTAATGAGTGTTTGAATGAGTAATGAGAGTTTCTACAGCTGTAGGCCAATCTGTATGAGCAAATGTTGTGCAACTGGTTTTTTTTAGGTATAAAACAATACCTTTGGATGCTTGGCACGTAGAAATAACCCACAATAAGATAACTAAAATCAACAAGAGTGCATTATATTTTTGTGGATTTCCTACTTTAAAGCACATTAAACATAAGGTAAAGGATTTATCTTTTCTGACATTTTAAATTGTATTTAATAGATAACTATGTAAGAGAAGTAAGTTTTGTGTGCTGTTTTGTTTTTACTCAGTTCTATCTTAGAAAAAGTGGCGTACAGGTGTTTCAGCAAAGCAGCCATGGAGAGAACATGATGTTAGAAATCATAGCTGATGAGAACTCTAAAGAACAGGTAAGCATTCAGCTCTTAACAAAGAAACAAAACCAAAAAAAAAACCAGACAAAAAAACTTGTCATAAAAAGACTGATTTTGTTAAAGTCAGATTTGAGATGTTGGTTATTTTTATCTTCTCAATAGTGTATTATAGGAGAAAAACGTTAATAGAGTAATATTGAAAGAGTTTTATAAAACAATTTCAAAACCCAAGCATTTCTTAAAAAAGAATAATTAAATATATTGAACAGTTAATTTAAAAGAATATCCTTAGATTTTTTTTAAAAACTTTATTTAACTAGTAATGCTTGATTTCAAAATGAGCTTTATGTAGAAGTTATTAAAATTTGATTAATAGAAAGGAAGGTGAAATATGAGTGTATGCTCAAGGCCATAGAATTAATTGCTGGAGTCAGAACTCTGGAGTTCTTAGCTCCCAGCCCAAAGTTGAGACCATTAGGTGGTAGTATTCTCAGTATATGTTTTGAAAAAATCAGCTGAATCAGTTCACTGAAAACATCAATGGTATTAGTTCACACTGAAAGCTTTTGTTGACTGTTGGAGTCAATAGTAAAGAATAAAGTGCATTAGGATTAAAATGCTAAATTTGTGTGGGGAACAGTCTAGAATTTTGGAATCTGCTGAAAGATTTAAATTTGTCCTGACTTCAGAATATTGCATGTCAGTCTCCTTAGTAGAGTTTCTGGCATTTTTCTGTGGTAGCCATCAGATGTTCTTAGGTAAGGAGTTGGTGAGACTAACTCTTCACTAATTAGTAGCTGGAAGTGGTATAAATGCAAGGAAGCAGAGTCTCCAGACAAGTGCCCCTTGTCTTTTGTATAGCTGAGTATATAGACACTTTTTTAGTCAGTCCCTTTTCATCAACAGAGCTGACTTACACCTTCCACTTACATGGGACTGTTTAACAGAGGAATTAAAGGAAAGAGTTGATGCAGAGACATTAAGAAGAAAAATATTTTTCTAAATCCTTTAAAAGCAAAATCTATTTTGTAATCAAAATATCAGATAGCAAAAGAAATCCAGGAAAAGAAAAAAGTTTCAGAGATAAATAAATAAATAAAACCAGGAAAGGAGAGAGGAGGAAAACAATGAGACAGGATTTTACAGTAGAGAGATAGGGAGAGTGAATATTCAAGATACGTGGCAAAGAGAATTAAATAAGCCAAAATAATGTATTTAAAAAAAGCAGAAACTCGTTGGAAAAACAGAACATAATGTGAGACTAAAATTACAGATGCTAGCAAAGTCCTGGACATAAGTGCTGTTTCTTTATTTCAGTGAGATACAAAAGTAAAATCTATGGTACAACATATTTCACTAATCTCAAATTGTCAGTTTGATTATTGTGTCCCAGAGACACAAAGAGTTCTAAGTGATTTAACAAATAAAGTATATAGTAAGCCTATACCAGAAATCTAAATCAACCCAGGTCTTACAACTACTATATGCTACATGTAAAGAGCCACACTTGGAATACAATACTTATTCCTAAAAAATGAAATATGATTCTCCATTTCTAATCAGAGATTATGTAACATGTATCAAAATATTATTTAATAAGATCAAAGGAGATTTTTATTCTGCAAGAAAACCTGTTCTTTAACTAGAATAGTCTTTATTGCAAAAACAGTTTCAAAAATTTTAACAGAAATCTTTTAATATGTTAAACAATTAGTAACTAATAGTCTTTTTTCAGATGGTAGAAAATGTTGCCGGTTCGGTACTTGGAAAGCGTGTTTTTGTTAACTGGCCACACCTTGAAGAAGCCAGAGTTGTTGCTGTGTCAGATGGAGAAACTAAGTAAGAGACATTTCATAGATAGTTGTCATCTTTATTGTTTTATTCAAAATAAGTTTCTTAGGCTGTACAAGAGTTTTGGGTTTATTGTAGTACTTGCTAACAGCAAATTAGTCCAGACCTATCAAAGGCTCCTTGGTGGAAGAACCTTTTTTTAACATTGTTCTGAGGTTTGGTTATCTCTGAAGAAGTCTAGTCCTTCAGTATTTTGCTATAGATGTAGATGTTTGGGAGAGCTCATTCTTAACTTTTGAGGGGAAAATGCATGGACAGAAATCCACACAGAATAATGTAAAAGAGAACATTTCTATACTGTCTTCCTTTCAGCACATGCACTGCTATTTTTTATAAAAAAAAATATGCTGTGTGGCCTGTTCTGGAAGGGGTAGAGAATACGATGATGCAAGTTTTCCATGTCCTTAACAAGTAATTTCTAACTAATTTAAGTTTTGCTCACAGTTGATTATGTCTAATTAATCTTATTTGTTTAAATTCATACCGGTCATAATTATTCTCAAGGTTTTATTTGGAAGAACCACATGGCACCCAGAAGCTTTACATGGGAAATGCAGTGCCCCCAACTAAAGTGGCATATGTTGGAGATAAGGAACAAAGCATGTGGTTAAAAGAAGTTCAAGGCATTTCAGAGCAGTAAGTAATTTTGAAAATTAAAGTGTAACTTTGCATTTTATAGCTTAGCTATGTGTTGTTGCTGTATTACAGACCTAAGTAGCAGAGAAGAGCTGCTGCATACTTGATGATAAAGGTTAATGAGTATGCTGGAATTTTAAAAAAACAACATAAATGAGCTTACGTTGAAATTTCAGAAAATATGGAGTTACTCCCTAGGTATTTAAAGTTAGATGCTGTTATGAAAGAATTCTCAAATGAATGAGTTTCAGTATTTACTCTCCCATTCAATTTTCTGTTCTGGTCTTAGTAATCTTCATTTGTAGGAAGTATATGGAATGGAGTCATATAGTATCAAGTTACAACTTCAATAGTTTAGCATTGTTAAATTTGAATACAGCTGTTGCTGTTCTAGAGTGTGGGTGCCTAGTGGAACACAACTGAGTTACAGTACCTTGCCATTTTATTATCTGTCATTTGAGTTAAATGCCTTAATTACCCCTAATCCTTCCCACTGTAAAGGTAAAATGTGTTTAATTTAACGCACTTAGTTATGTAGTGATGGCCATGTGACAATGGATAAGCAATTGGTTAAGCCGTTTATTCTGGGTTATTTTTTATAAAACAGGAAGCAAACTATTAGAATCCTTTTGTTAAAAGTTGTTGGTTTTTTTTTTTTCAAGAATTTAATTCCACCCTCTTGGTTCAGTTCTGTTCATTGTAATCAAAATAAATGTTCTGCTTTGTGTTCAGCTACCAGAGAAGGAAAGGAATAATTATTCATGAAACATCAATAGTTGTATATGCTCAGTTACTCACTGGTAATAGATATCAACTAAACCAAAATGGAGAAGTTTATTTGGAGAAGCAGTGGTCAAAACAAGCTCTTCCTTTTGTTTACCAAACTGTTGTCAAGGTAAATATACAAGTGCAATATCTTCTTGCACATAGCTCCTTACTCCTTTGGGGCAGGCAGGTGCGCGGAGGAAAGAGTGTATGCTCCTTTAAAACAAAAGAATGACAAAAATAAGCATATTAAATTAATGTAATTTATTGTATAAAAAAATGTAACATGCTTAGGCAAGTATTTTGTCACAAAATTTGGGACCCTGTTGCACAGTGTAGAGATCTTACTGAAAAAATGGCTTTTGTCATCTTTTTACTGATACTTTGAATGAAGTACAGAGTGGTGCTCTACGAGGTAGCATAGTTGCTTGTGTAACAGTATTTGTAATACAGCATTAATTTCTTTGCCTTCGATGAATTATTTCAGACTCAGATAATGTTTTAGAATAAGTGTCTATTTATATGAACTTTTTAATTATTCTGCTAGAACTGAATGATATTTAACATTGTCAATTTTGTCTTTTTCATTTAGGATATCAAAGCCTTTGACTGTCGTTTTTCAAACATCAGAACTTTGGATGACTTGTTTCCTCCTGGAAGTACAGCCTTTATGCTGGGATCTCCTTACTATGGCTGCATGGGAGAAGTTAGTTGCAATAATTATTATTTTTATTTTTGCCCTACATTTCTTTATTTGCAAGTCTAAAATAATCTAGATATGTTGTGTGGCAGTAGTGATCAATTGCTAGCTAAAATTTTAAATCAAAGATGTTTAGTCAGATGGAGGAGGAGTTGGTTCTGCATTCCCTATCACTGTTGCTGGCGTAACAGGAAAAAGGTAGCATAGCTTGAATGCAGGATTATGTTTATTAATTATTTGGGATAATTTGCAATATGTAGAGTTGCCATTTTGGACCATTTTCAGTCATGGATTCCTTTGATTTAATGCTGTTTGATTGCCTCTGTGAGGAAGCACTGTACAGGTCAAGGCAAGATGATGAATCCCAAAGCTTCTCTGAGTCTACTGCAGCAAAATTTTTTATAAAGTAGACTACGAGATCTAGTATCCAAAGACTGCTGTTTTTAAATAACACTTTTAATGTGTTGTGTTTCTCTCCAAGGTTCAAGATTCACGCGATGTGATCACAGAAGGTAGAATTCGTGTAGTTTTCAATATTCCATGTGAACCCCAGCTTGATCCTTTAATACAGAACCAGCATGTAAGTGCTTCTGATTTTCTAGTAAAAGCTCAAACAATGTGTCAAATGTATTTTGCAATGGTAAATGTCTTTAAGGGATGCTTCCATATTATTCATTTGCCCTTTGTATAAAAATCCTTATCTTTCAGGAATTGCCAATGTTTTTTCATTTGTTTGTTTGTTTTAAAGAAATATTCTGTGAAATACAATCCTGCATATATTTTGGCCAGCCGTCTTGGAGTAAGTGGATATCTTGTCTCCAGATTTACAGGGAGTATCTTCATTGGAAGAGGATCAAAGAAAAAGTAAGTTCTCTTTGTGAAATTTGACTGTAGGGAAGCTTCTAAGTTCTAATACAACTCTACAGATTTTCTGCTATGTTTAAGTGCTGTTCTTATCAAATGTATAACTGCATTGTGATGTGAAGCTTTCTTTAAAGCATATTTGCTGTAAACTAAATTCATATGCAGTGTTTTTCTCTCCTATCATAAACTTCTTTTTAATTTCTGTTTACTTGAGAGTTGTTCTGTTGGCTTTAGTATTGTAGAAAGACATAATTTGCCCTTTCTGGTTAACTGTTTGCATAATTGAAGCAGGAGTTTTAACTGACTTTGCCACACTGAGAATAAAAGGTGGAATTGGGATCTAATTTCATTGTGCTTATCGCTACTGCTAGTATAAACAGATAATAATTGTATCTGTAATTTTTTTTAAGAACTCATTAAGACTAAAACTGCTTAAAATATATAAGGGAGGCAATCCCTATATTTCTCTGAATGTCAGAACTGTGGTTTCCTAGGGCAGCTCAGTAAAGAAGTGGTTGACGCACAAGCATCTTCTTGTGATTTAACATGTACATTTGTTTCCCCACTGATTGTTCAGGGACATCCTTCTACATCTTGGTAAATGCCAGGTAGATTGTGGTTGATTAGATCTCAATTAAGGAAGAAGGGTAAAATATTCCCTACCCTCCTTTGCAATAAGGTATGGGCATGCATGTGGACAGCTACCATAGCACAGCTTATGTCCTGCAAGATCTACGGCTGTTGCGATGTTAACAAGTAAACAATACAATGAATTGAATTTTTCTGTGGTTTAAGGCTGAGTATGTACGTTTATGTGGGTTTTAATGTATGAACATACACACACATATATATATTACTGCAAGTTAATAAACTTTTTCTTATTTTCAGTCCTCATGGAGATCACAAAGCAAATGTGGGGCTAAACCTGAAGTTCAATAAGAAAAATGAAGAAGTTCCTGGCTATACTAAGAAAGTTGGAAATGAATGGATGTATTCTTCTGCAGTGGAACAACTACTTGCTGAGTATTTAGAAAGGTAAATACTGATATGAACTTCATCTAAGTTATCCACCTTTGTATCAGTCTTTGGATTTTGTCCTGTGTACACAGATCTTCTAAGAACTGATGAGTTTGCTTTTGGAGATTGCTTGATGGAATTTCTTTTATTCCAATATTCTCCTTCCAACAGTACCTCCTTCCAAGGAGAAGCGTATTTTGGGATAGAGTAATCTTGTCAGCAGCTTACCCTTGATAAATGACTAGTATGACACTAAATTAAGTAAATAATAATCTGTCTGGGCTCCATAAATTTTGAAGCCCATCGAAGTTTGTTTTGACGAGGCTTTTTTGTGGTCTATGCTGATGTGAAACTAAATTTATCTTCCATTTATTAATTTTTTAGGGTCCCTGAACTATTTAATTATATAGCCAAGAATAGCCAGGAAGATATCTTCTATGAAGATGACATTTGGCCTGGAGAGGATGAGAATGGGTAAGCCATGTTTCTCTTCTTTTTTTTTTTTTTTTGTCTAGAATAAGTATAGTAAAGGCTGACAACATTGTGGAACTGGTGGTGATCATATAGTGGCTGCTATATAACTGAAACCTTGCTGTTCCTTGAGCAGCATGATTGTTCAGTGATGACTCTGAAAAAATTATCAGAATGTTGTGCGTTCTAGTTGTGGAGTCCAAGTCTCCGTCAGACTTATCTCAAGTCCAATAAATGAGAAATCTAATTTTCGATGGCTACTTCATAATTTTTGCTTTTAAAATAACCTTCAGGAAGCATAGTTATGAATAGTCACAAAGTCACCAAAAGATAATTTTTGGAAAATAAGCAATAATTATTTTAATTGTTTAAGATCACTTTGAATTTGAAAAGTAACATGTACAGAATTTAGAGTACTTTGCACATTTTTAGTATACATTCAGTCAGTTTCATGGGAGACAAGGAGCAGTCTTGGTTCCAGATACAGTATAGTAACATTAAAAAAGCTTTTATTATTAGCTAGTAAGCCCTATTCACGGGCTCGAGTTGGTAAGTCTGCATGATGCTGCATTCCGCAGTACTCCTACCAGGTGGATATACCATTGTGGGACTCTTCTATTATAGTAATCTCAGGTTTGTGCTCTGTTTTACCAGGGGCATGCCCTGAAGTTCTTTCTTACTGTGTTGTGAGAAACAGCTGGTCACAGAACCTTAAATCACAGCTGGACATGGTTAATTGGTTGGATGCAAACATAATTTACTGACTACTTTCAAACAATTTCTTTTTTTTTTTTTCCTGAGACAAAACTTCAGGTTATAGTTTTGAAACAGTATCACATGATTCAGTTAGATTTTTTTTTTTTTAAACCCTCTATTGTAAACTTACACAGAACTCTTAAATTCTGTTACTTTATTAATGTATACAAGCATTGTGCCTATATCGTAATACTTGACTGATTAAATCAGGGAATGTGGTAAAATGCTTAGTTTATGCAGTTAAATATTTTAACTCATGTTGGTTTTTTTTAGAGCTGAGAAAGTTCAAGAAATTGTTGCCTGGTTAAAGGCACATCCTGTGTCTGCTTTGTCTCGCTCATCTTGTGACTTGCAAATTTTGGATGCAGCCATTGTTGAGAAAATTGAAGAAGAAATAGAGAAATGCAAGGTATGCAGCTCGACGACATTGTGAGCAGGGGTGAACCAAAAAGCAGCTGCTCATTATTTTCCAAGTTCTTGAATTAGAATAAGATGATTGAAGATTACTTGCCATTCCAAAGAAAAAGAATATAGAATGTAATGTAAGATCTGAATTTGTAATGTGAATTGTCCCAGAAATTCAGAAGAGCTCATGATTTATCTTTCTAATTGACTCACTCTTTGAGGCTATTCAGCAGCATTAGCCATACTCTGAACTCTGCCTTTTGGTGATTTCAGAAAGGAACAGGTGTCAGTTTATATCTGAAGTGCCATTTCTAAGTGCAATCCCAGCTGTTCTTCCCTTGCAGTTTCTGTTTGGTCTGAGGAAAATCAGAAAGTTGTTTTCTGAAGGCCACAGATCAAAAAAGGGGCCAAGGAAATTACAAAAGCAAAAGCTAAAGGCAAAGCCACGTGAAATAATGGGCTGATTTCTTTGAAATTATTTGCAAGGACATGTTAATAAAATTGGTGTGAATTCAGGAATTAGCCAAACGATGCAAAAGCTCTGGTAAGAAATCAGTCATGTTTTAAAAACTGGATGTAGTCATCCTAAAGACTTCATGAAAGCTGTATACCTTTATCTAAAAGAAACAAAAGAATTCTGCGTTATCTTTTCAGGTGTTTTGTTGTACCTGAAATCCAGTGTTGGTTCCTACACTAGTTTGTAATGACTTTCTGTTCCTTTCCTTTAGCAGAGAAAGAGCAACAAGAAGGTGCGAGTAACTGTGAAACCCCATTTGCTGTACAGAGTAAGTGATGTGAAAAGGTTTTTTTTAAAAAGTTAAGTTGTCCAGATCATGCTTATTTTACCTAAGCTTATCAACTTTCAGAGAGTGGAATTTCATGACAGTATTGATGGAACAAAAAGTTTCATGATGCCTTCTAGAAAATTAATTTGAGAATGGTAGTCTGTCTAAAAGGAGAGAATTTCTACTAACTACAAACTCCGTGATGTATTATACTGACTTTCAGTTCTTTTCTACCTTCTGTCCTTCATGCTTCTACAGTTCTTATTGGCTGTATGATGAAGGCAAAATAAAATATACTTCCCATTTGTCTCTTCTGCCCTGTTCTGCTTTTCGTTCAGTTCTTGACATAGGACCAACTGCTCATCTTGCCTGGTATTCCACAGATACCAGTGTTACTGATACAGGCAGATTACACTTGATGGTTTTATTTTGTCTAAATTGATCCCCTTGGTCTGCCTTGGATCATGTACAGCGCTGCTGTTTTCTCAGGCAGAAGCAGTAAGTGAGAGTTACAGGAAAAAAAATGAAAGTTTGCTTTGTGTCTGGGGAGGGAAGATTCTATGTTCTTAAACAATTTTTTTTTCCAAAAAAGTTTGTTTTATAGTGTGTTTCAGATATTGTTATAAATGCATTTTGATTGTAATCCCTTTTTTTTTTTTTGCAAACATTAACGCAGTCTTTTGGTTATTGTCAGCCATTAGAACAACAGAATGGGGTTGTTCCAGATCGAGATGCAGAGTATAGGCTGTTTGACCGTGTTGTCAATGTGAGAGAGAACTTTTCCGTTCCAGTTGGTCTTCGAGGTACCATTATAGGAATTAAAGGAGGTAATATTTTCTTCATAACTGTAGCATTATAGCTGTATAACAGCTCAGCTAGTGATGTGAAAGCAGGCTTCAGAAAAGTGGTTTGTATAATGGTTGTGAATGCACAGAAATTTCTCACCTATGAAGCATATGCAACTTGAAGCCACTGATGACATACTTCCTGTTTTGAATTAAACCTACAGGTATTCTTTTTTAATTTCATGTGTTACACAGCTGTACTTTGAATAAGAAATTACTTACCCTTTGTTCCTTCTTAATATGAAGAAGGCAGAGAGATCAATGAGAGAGAACACAGGCTCCAAAAAAGTAACAATGAAGATATAGGCAAAGTTAAGAGAAGTAGAGATAAAAACAAGTATTAGCCTTAATACTTACATTGAACATAAAGTTTTATCAAATATGATTTGTCTCAAATTGTTTTATTTGGAATTTGGTTTTTACTGTGTGATACTCCATTTCTGTTAAATGGCATGGATTTATACCTTCTTTGGCAAGAAGATTATCCATAAATATTTCAGGTAAACAAAAGGATTTACCAAATCACATTGGGTGTAGCATGTGAGATCTATGTTCTTACCTGGCATTTAAGTAGTTGCTCTCTCATTCAGTTTGCATCCAAAAGAATCTTGAATAGACTAGACTTGAGTGCAGCTTTTTAAAGGGTATTATTTTCTCCATAATGATTATATACTAGCATAATTTTAAAGGAGAGTTAGTCTATCATTATGCAAGAAGGTAATGTTAAAGCTGTTCATTTCCGACTGCCTGAATGGGAAGATGGCTTGCATCTCTTTTTCTGGCAGTTTCTGGAAACTGTGACATACTGCTCTAAATTGCAGTACTATTAATGCAGGTTGATAAGTTGTTATGCATGGTACATTTCTGTTGAAAATATATCTAAAAGGGCAGCCATATATGACTTCAAGAAGCATTTCCTGAATTGCCCTTAATGAAATTACTCATTTAAGGAGTAAGGATTTTTTTTGTTGCTAATTAGTTAGGTTTTGGTCTTTTCATTATTTATTGCATAACTAATGTAGATATGTGCATAATTTAGGTGAAAACAACTACTGTTACACATATAGGATGACATTTTACTTTGTTTCGTATAGCCAGTAGAGAAACAGATGTGCTCTTCGAAGTTTTGTTTGATGAAGAATTCCTTGGAGGCCTAACTATAAGGTTTGTACAGGGAGTTTCATAGTCATTTCGTGCAATTGGTATAGATGGCATGAAATTGTTGCCTTTGGTTTGGTTGAGTATTTTTAATGCCTCTTTTTAGAACTTTGTTTCTCAACAGTGTTGGTCAGGTTTTATTTTTTTTGTGTTTCTTTTTTCTCTTTGAGTAGGGATAATTTTTACGAAGTATAATGTATTTTGGAAATGCTCTTTAGGCTTCTTTGTGTATTTAGAAGTTTCTGATTTGTAGAAAGCAAGTATGAACCAGCAGAATAAAGCACTAGTTCCAAATGTTTTTCTAAAACAAATATGTAGAAAACAGGTTATTTCAGTATGTCTTTAACATATAGAGTAAAAAATAGTCAGTAATCATATGTTCCTCTGAAAAAGGGTCTCTGAACTATCAATAATTGATACTTAGGCACTAAATTCTAACCACCGTTAAAAACCTAAACTGTTCTTCAGGAGATGGAGGCATGGTTAATACTTTTGTTTTAAACAGTGTGATAACTCTTCTATATTTAAGTACGTGTGTAAACTTCTAAGTGCACTAAATTACCAAGCAGGCTTCATTTTACTATTGTTCTTAGATAAATTAAGTTTTTTTAAGACAGAAATTAGAGGAGAATCTTACCTATTCCCTATTCAGCAAGCATAACACAATCCAGTCCCTTGCGAGAGCATGGCCTGTGGCACAGATAATCTCCAGTATTCAGAATCATAAAGGAAGATATAAAACTGACTAAATGCCGCTTAACTTCAATTTATAATTCTGCTACTGGCTTCAATTTTCATCTCAGAAAAAGAAAATAATATTTTTTCGTGGTTCATAATTTTTTTACAGAAATGTTTACTACAGAGCTATGCTGTAACAATTCCCTCATTTTTAAAATGTCTTTGAGCTCAGCACTGAAAGGTACAATATAAAGTCAGAGTAGTAGTAATTACTGTTGTTTTCTGGTTTTGACAGCCAGAAGCCAAAGGGGGGAGCGCAATTGGATTAACATAGTGGTACTAGATTTCAATGTTGGATACAGTTTTCAGCCTCTGCCATTCAAACTTGAGTCATTATCTTTTGGCACAGAGGCAACAGTGTTGTTAAATTGGATACATTGAAATGTCAACATTTAAACTACATGAAACAGCTATATAATTTGCTTTTCTTAAGGTGCTCACCTGCCAGAGGTTATCGTCTGCCATCAAGTGCCTTAATTAACCTGTCTCATGGTAGTCGGTCAGAAATGGGAAATCAAAAACTGATGGCCATAGTTAAACCTCAGCCAGCTGTTAATAACTACAATTCATATGCATCTGACCTGTCATCTGTATGCCCACAAAAAGTGCATCTGGGAGGCCTCAACCATTCTCCTCGCTCCCTTTTTGTTCCTACTCAAGTAAGACTTTTCTTTCATTTGTACAAAAATGTTTTTCCCTAGAAGCTGAATTATGACCATGGTTGCTATCTTCATTGGTACAAGGAAAATTTAATTTTTATGTCAGTATATTAGAAGTAGGATAATCCTTATCTTAGAGAAATGAGTTAATCCAATAATGAAAGGGACCAAAAGTTCCTTATTGACAGTTGTTTTGCTTTGAGTAGCTCCAGTTGCATTTCCAAGAGACAAATATTTAGTTTGGAGCAATGACACCACATTTGGTGTCAGCAAACAGTTTGTTTGGGCAGAGATGCAATTATTTCCTTAAAGCTCTGTTCCAAGTACCGCTTCCTGTAGGCCAAGTTTGTCCATGCTCAGAAGGAGAACATACAATTTCTTTGTCAATTTTGAAAATACAGTAAAGGAGGAAAAATTACAGGTGAATTGGGGTTCTCATTGGTTTAATTAAACTTTATTTTTTAGTAAGTGACTTCTTTAAAAAAAATTAGCTTCATGGGTAACTTCATGTTGCTATAGGTGTGTCTGAGAATTGTCTCATGTTTTCTAAGTCTGTACAAGAAAAACTACTTTCCAAAACAAAATTTAAGGCAGTGAAACACTTATGATTTTTTTTTTTTTTTTTTTCCCCAATGATTTAGCAACTGAATGGAAGACAGCATTACAATCTCAGGGCTGAAAATCAGGGTAACTCTAATTCACCCCAGAAAGGATCATTTTTGAGTGGCAATCAGAAAAATAAAGTGAGTGTTCTGATTCATTTAGTATTGGACCCAAATGTCTCAATATTTATTTTGGCCCCCTATATTTAGAGTGGGTGTCCTTTTCTCATCATTAACAGATAACTTTGTTTTGGTACATCAGATGTTTTAGTCCAGATACAGACTGGAGCAGAACTTGTCCCAATTCTTGAATGAGTATAATATCCTGTGTTATTCTTGTTTAGATTCTAGATTCTCAGAAGTGTTTTTTACATAGCTGGGCTTCAGTTCTGTGGTAGCATGCCTGTAGTATTATGAAACAGTTGAGGCTGATTGATAAGTCCTTACAAAATAAGGCATTAATAATAAAATTTAAGAATACTACCAGTATGAGAGCATGCTTTTGAAACCATTTTGAATTATTATTTGAGTTTAATTATACTTGATGATCTTTCCTATGTTCATAACTTCAGTTAATAACAAAACAAAAACAATCTCAAAAGAAACTAAGCTCATTTCAGTTTAATAGTGATTCTTAGGAAGAGTTGTTACATAGATACAACCCACCACAATAGCCTATTTCATAAATTAAATACCTGCGAGTTCTACTAGTGTCAGTATGAAAACTTCTGTCATCTGAGCACTGTTAAACTTGGACCTTATGATTTTCAGAATGTCTTTGTATATGATTAGCTGTTCAAAAGTTGAGTTTATAGCTGCTGAGTTTATTGGGGGTGTTGTTTCTTGTTTTGTCAGGCACAGAGTAAGCAAGGTGATGAATTCTGCAGCATATGGCAATCATTACAGAATTCTGGGAAGTCTCACCACATTCAGCAAAACATGCATGAGAAGGTTAGTATAGAAACTTTAAACAGATCTCTGGGTTCACAATATGAAAGTAATTTTATACATCAGTTCATTACATGATAAAACTTTCTGGTTAATGTTACAAATAAATCCTCTGGATGAAAGTATTGTCACACAGGGTATGCATAGTTCTGGAAAGAGGTAATCGTACAGGACTACTATGTATATGATGGATACACAGTTTTCTGGCTAAGGTTTGATGTTTGAAATCCTAGGGTGCAGTTCTACCTCAGGAAATCAAGCTGGGAACTGGGAATCAGTTCTATAAGCCAGGATTCAATGACAGCAGCTTTAAAGGTCAGCAAAGAAAACAGGAGCCTTATAAAAAATGTAAGTACTATAACTATAAACTTTGTTTAGGAGAACTACTTGCTTTATCTGATCTTCATTGAAATGATTATTTTGTAGTTATTGACAGAAAATAGTTTATTGTAGTTACATAAACACTATGTTGCACTTATTGTCAAATAATGTCCCAGGTGTGCATATTAGGTTATTTCACACTTAATCCTGAACCTTTTAATCAAGCTGTTCTGCATTATGTTGACTTTCCACCCATCTGATACAAAAACAAAACAAAAAACCCCCACAACTTAGCTTTGAAAATTCGCTTGTGATCATATTGTGGAATATAAAATTAGATCTATTATTGCATATACTTCACTTTATCCCACAAGAAAAGCATACACCGAAAGACCTATAAAGTATGAATTAACATCTGATGCAACCATTCAAATTAATGCAACTCTGTGTACTTGTATGGAATATTTAATTTTTTTGAGTCTTGATTATTATTATGGTTTTTAAGAGCATTTCAAAAGAATGCATTCTTTTGTAGTTAAAGAAGATTCCAAAGTTACAAGAGGTGAAAGTCAGCCACATAATAAAATATCAAACAAACAGGTAATTTCTTCTGTACTGAGTACATGTACTCTTTTCTTTTCATTTTACTCTGATCTGATTCATCATTTTACAGATTTCTCTTTAACTGGCATCTTAGTTGATTCTTTTACTAGGTAAATTTTGTTTTGGAAATTTTTTTTTTCCTCTAGAGATTTTACAGACAGGAAATGAGACAAAATGCATAAGATGTATAATGATGATACCAAATGATTTTCCTATTCCCCTCAGACTCTAAAAGCTATGCTGTAATGGGAAAACACAAATGCTAGGTTTTCAGTAAGTTGAAATCCTTTAAGTATATTAGCTTGTGAAAGCTATTTGCGGATGCATTTCTAATACTATTGTGTTATAATGAGTAATGGAGTATTAGTACTCAATGATAAATGCTGCAGTGTATTTCAGAATTTTGCAGGTGTGAATAAGTACAATGTCAAACTTTTGAAGAGGAATGAAAGTCCCAACATGCCTGTAATTCAGAAGGCTGCAGTTGATGGTCCTTCTACAGGTGGAAAGGTAGGATCCCAGGTAGTTGATTTTCTTGTGCTCTTTGAATAACTTCAGTTTCCAGTGCATTTTGTTCCAACTATTCCTCATCACTCGTGTGCAAATTTATGTTTATAGCAGATGCAAGAGAAACCTGTATAACCTTGATCATTCTTTAAATCAGTTCCCTATTGGTCAATACTTGCATCTTTTTAGTATGCAAAACCTGATGTAGTCTGGATATCTGTTCACACTCTGAGCAGACATGACTGTGATCTGCCCAAACTAAGAGAAAAAAATCCTGAATGAGCATAAAATTAATCTCAAACTAATATACCCTTCCTCTTGCATGTGTTAAGTTGATGTACCTTTTTTTTTTTCATTTATTTTAAGAAGGACAATGAACTTGAAGGCCTTCTAGCTTCTTTGAAAATTTCCAAAGAAAACGAAGTCCAGACTTATTCCAAGGAAGCAAGAGCTACAAATGAAGAACATCTGTCACCACAATCATTTGCTATGGTCTGTATACTGCAGGAATCCTTACATTGCAGTTTAGCATCTGCTATCTTGGTATCAATGCTTCTATTTAAAGAAACTCCATGAAACCTCATACTGCCTTTTTAAACATATTGATGAGCTTTTAATTAGATATTCTCAAAGAAAATTAACACACACATTTGTTTATGCTATGATGCTGTTAACTGTACTTTGATAAAATGTAACTGATAGGAAAACAAAAAGTCAGATTATGTTACCAATTGTGATATTCAGAGTTAAGTAAGAAGGTAGTGTTATCTGAATGCCATCATGTCCCTGAATGGTTTATTTTCTTTTTAAAGAAAGGAACACAGATGCTCAAAGAGATTTTGAAGATAGATGGCTCTGACCTGGAAACAAGGAATGAAGTGAAATCCCAAGTTAGTGATTTTCCTGCTCCCCCTAGTAGACAGGATTGCCATGGAGCTGCCTTGCAATACAGACAAACAAAAAGAATGGGTATGTTTACACAACAGCTCACAGTTCAGAGCTTCACCTTGTAGTGACATTTTAGAACATAGCTAACAGTATAGTACTGATTTTCAAAATATAGTAATAAAATGTCCATCTTTTTCAGTTCTACTTCTTTATTCACATCTAAAAATCTCTTTATATATAGTCTTCTGGCTTTTGTTAATCAGATGAAAATACCAGAAGAAAATCAAATGTGCTTTTTTTTTCTGCTAATAACAAAGTTGCTGTCCTTTCAGCGCAGGAAATATTTGTGTTACAGCTTTTTGGTGTGGGTTTTTTTCTTTTTTTATTTTGTCAGCTGCTTATATGAACAAGCCTCATAGCACTGGAGGTCCTCAGAACACAGCACCACTGGAAACTGGAGGTCACCCTTTCACTTGTCCACAGCCTGCACTGTCTACTGTTTCTGAACTTTCTCGTATTTGTTCTCTTGTTGGAATGTCGCAACCAGATTTCTCTTTCCTAAAAACACCACAGGTAAAAAGCTTTTTCTGCAAAAGTTAAAGTTCTCAACTTTGTTTCAACTGTTCTATATTAAACATTTGGACTGAGCACTGAAATCCATCTAAAAATAAACCTTAGTTCCTTTTGTTGTCTTTTTTCAAAACAAACAAACAAGTCCTCTGTTTCTATCTCACAGTTTGTTTGTCAGCAGTACAAATTCCCTCAAAAATCTTATCTCATTTTTCTAGACCATGACAGTTTGTCACATAAAATTATCAAATGGTTTGTTGGTTCATGGACCGCAGTGTCATTCTGAAGCTGAAGCAAAGGAGAAAGCTGCGCTTTTTGCTTTACAGCGTTTGGTGAGGATGCAAAGAATCTTTTAAAAATCTTTGTCTCTATTGCATTGTGTCTGTTTGTAATCCTCCATTTCCTTCTTCGTAGAGTTCTATAGGAGTAAACTTCCCTTTGCCTCCACCTCCACCAGTGTTTCCAAATTATCAACCACTGGGAGTTCCTGTGCCACCTGGATCTATTCCTCCAGTATTTGCACAACCCCCTGGTAAGTATTTGACTAGTACGCATTTCAAATATTGTCATGATATGCTGTAATTGTAATAGTTCTTTATATGAAAATGAATGCCTTCCAGAAAGCCCCATTTTTGGTCTTCATATATGTAGTTGTATATCTGAACTGCTTTGAAAACAGTTCATGAACCTCTTCTCATCAATATGCAAATTGATTCAATACAAAGAATCACTTCTCTCCCAATTATTTCTTTTCCTCAAGAATGTATTTGTCCATTCAGTCTTTGTTGTTTGTTTGATTTTTTCCTTCAAAACAATAGTAGTTACTTCAAACCTGATAGTCCCAGTCCAGAATTCGTAAGAAGTATCTTCCTTGATTTTCTACGTGGATTTTTTTTTCCCCCTCTATAGTTAATGGTTATCCATGCATTAGTATTTTTATTGGTTTATAACCAACTTTCACTGAAGTGATGCATCACAATCCTGTTGTACACTGCCAAACATTAGCATGGTGAGTAACCCCCGCCAAATTGGTAGAAATACTGGTGGGGTTTCTGGTTCCTGTCTGTTTTGTATTCTACTAAAGCTCACTTTCACAGCTAGTAATTAATGAGCCAGCACCACTGTAGCATCCTAGCAACCCATACAGCAGCTGCTACATCTCTTTTCACCAGGGTTTCTATATTGTTGACTTGTTTCAAAAGGATGGCGTAAAGTTGCAACCTTCTACTAATACATCACTCAGCTAAGGATGCAAAGATCCTAAGGCAGTGCACTCTGAAATACAGGTGCCATGACTTACTGCTCTTAACTGCTGTCATCTAGGTGTAAGTCTGTAAAAGCAGAACTGTTTGTTTAGGATGTTTTTTATAATAAATAAATACTTAACTATTTTCAAGTAAATAGGAAGAATATGAGGCTTTATTGGAAAGAGAAACAGCATGCAGACAAATGTAGTTGGGGTACTTTTGGGGTCTTGGGGAGTTGGTATCTTCTTTTTCAGGAAAGCATGCTAAAAGTTACTTATTTTCACAGCTAATATAATGCCTCCATCATCTCACATGTTTGGTCCAGTGTCCTGGGGAACTCCAGTGCCTAAACATTATTATCCTGGCTCCTATCCAGGAAATGTGTCTCTTGCAGGAACTATACCAGTTGGTTCTCACAACCAGTTTATACCTCTGCAGGTAAGATTGGCAGGTTTGTCTTAATATTCTAATTTTGTAAAAAATATGTCTAGATGATGAATGCAACACCACCCCCACTGTGAAGCACTCTTTAGTATTAGAAAACTATTGTAAAAAATTGTATGCATGTTTTCTAAAAGTGGAATATTTTCAGTTTCTTGAGAATGCATTCTGTTAAATAATATTTATTTAATTTAAAGGTAACTAAAAAAAGGGCTGCTAGCAAGAAAAACTTTGAGCTCAAGGAGTTTCAGAGTTCCCCTCAAGCTGCACCACTAAAGAATGAACAGCCAGTGTCTTCTGACCACATTCAGCAAGATAGTTCTTCAGCTTCTTTAAAATCTCCTCAAGCTGCTCAATCCACTGTTTCCTTTCAAGACAATGTGGCTACTCCAAGCGTTCCTCATAACAAATCAACACCAAACACTTCCAGCAAGCGAAAGCCAAGAAAGCTGGCAGTCAATTTTGGCGCACCAAAATCTTCAGAATAAATATGGTAGCTAGGTGTATTTTATCTTTAACTCTTCCCCCACTGTTATGTTCTCTCATTTAAAAAAATCAGAAAGCTCTATTAAAAAGACCAGCCACTTTAAGTATAATATAGAATGAAATACATTTTATTTGCTATGATTTTCAGGTTGTTATGAAAACTATAAAAATTATGTTAAAACTTAATTATTTTGACTTAAATTAGCAAAAGCCAGGAAATGCTGAGTTAAGGTTACCATGCCATCCATTGTGCCTAGGTTTCTAAACAGTGGCTTACAGACTATACCAGGTAAGCAGCAATAACAGTGGCAACCTTAATTCAGAATTGCCATGCTTTTTGGGAGGGATGTGGAGCGGTAATAAGTTGGGCATCTTAACATTGCTTAGTACAACATTCCATATTCTAGCTTATTTTTAAATAGTGTAGTAAGAGAGAAAGGAAAAATTATTTAAATGCAGCTTTTACATTGGCTCTTCAGGTCCTTCTGTGAGTTGATCAGTGTGACTAAAACCTAACTATGGTGAAACTGTCGAATTCACTTTAACTATGAACTGCTAGGTTTTATACCAGAGGGCAACAACTTTACAATTTTCAAAATGTAGGTATTAATGCATCTCTAGTATTAGAGCAGCAAAAAGTGGTTTCTGATGCAGAATCTGTTCCAGGAGATTAATTTATAGGATATATTCAATAAAAAAATACATTTGCAAAGTAGACACCTCTTTGGTAATGTTTAATTTTTTAAATATAGCTGCATTATCAATTTCATTTTTTTCTGATGATAAAATAACATACATATCTACTGCAGATCTGCTTAGCCTCCTAAAATGCTAGTGTTACCCTGATTTTTTTATAAATTATAAAAATGGCCAGAGTTTAAAGATGTCCGTTTGTGTAGTATGGCTGTCAAAGTTATGTTTACTTAGAGTCCATTTCTCCCTGTAATAGTCTGCACCCTGAAACCTTCTCTGTGGTAGGTTATTTTTTGTTTGCTAGTGACTTTTAATATTTATTTTTTGGTTTTGTGATAGAAGTTCTGTGTAGCAAAATTAAATTACCAGAAACTGTTATTAGTTCCATAAGAATATTCAGACAAAAAGTTGACTTGTATTTTTGGAGGAAGCTATGTTGTAAAAGAAGTAACACCATCGTTCTTAGTTCATATAGGAAAAAAAGAAGGCTCAAAAGTCCCTGTGCTATTTTTAACCTACAGGTACCGTTCTTTTTGACATTAATAAGAAATCTTCAGTCTAAGAGAAACTTTGAAGCCTCAGTTGGTGCTGTTTACTGATGTTGATTAAATTTCATTTTTCTTCTTTATTCTAATCTGTTCTAGAAAAAATACTTTTCCTCTAAGGCCCAGGAAGCTTAGAAATAAAGCATACTTTAGTGATTAATTTTGTTGCCTCCAAACAGGTTTTTGTGTTGGATCTGCAAGTCTGTAGACTTTCTTTCAGTTCCTTTACCTTGTTCTTTGCCTCCCTTTCTTGGTGTAGTACCAAGTTTCACATTATTACCATGTTATAGGATTTTTTTATATTGATTTCTCCAAAACAGTTGTTGCCTCAGCAGTATTTGTAGAATAGCAGCAAGCCCTTTACAAGGATCACAGACCCTTGTAGAATAGTCTATATACAGTCTTAAAATATATTGATTTTGTTGTTCTCTTTGTAGCAATCTAGTCTAAAGAGGGTTTGAAGCCATATTCTGTGAAGGGGAAGTTGTACGTTGGTGATTTATTGTCATTAGCAACATGAGACTGACACAATGCTGACACACCAGTATTTTAGAAGTGTTTATGTGAAATCCAGTTATGAGACAGATGTTAGTCCCCATATCCCATATGAATAATCTGATCATCAGAGAAAAGATCTGTTCAGAAGTTCCTGTGATGGAGATGAGACTTCATTATAGTCTTGTATCACAGAATTTTGACATATCTGGATAGCCAATTTATGCAGATTTTTTAGAAACAAAGTTACGAAGGACACTATACTCTTAACATCAGTAAACATGGCAATTTTAATTAATTACTTCAGACGAAGACTTCCTCTTCCTCTCTGGGTAGAATTGCTATATTTAGTATATATAGATGGTGAGACACTTTATTCTGTAGCTGCTGCATATTGTATTAGTCCCTGGTTTTTAGTTTAAGTATATTCTATGATACTGACTGCCTGGTGCCCAGTTAATTACAGTTTTACATGTCCTGGTAGATGTGACATCTGCATTGACCTATGCCATGTCCCATATGATTTCAGTTTTATATTTTAACAAGGTGATTATGTTTAATTCATACAGATATAAATTTAAGCATTTGTTTTTCTCATAGATATAAAGTATTTTGTACGCACTGGAGTTTTTCATTAGATCTTATACAGAGCAGTATTTTACTAAAAATCCAAAAGGGAAGACTTTTATGTGCGCATTTTTGTAGTTTCTGATTTTTTTAAAATAACTTTTCATTGTTTATCTGCCAAGTGAAATGTTTTAAATTTGCATATGAATGGATACAGAATGTATTTTTTGTGCTGTTTAGTGTTAAGTGTGCATTTGCAGATTTTTAGCATGTAGTTGCACAAAGGATTGTGCAAAGATATTTTAAAATATGAATATATGATACACTGAAGGAAAAACATTCATAAAAGTTAAATGCTATATAAAACTTTAATGCAATAGAATAATTTTATAAATTGTGTCTGTGTCTGCTTGGATTAAATATTGAAACAAGAAACATTACTTATTTTCACTGTTTTATTTCCAAATACTATATGGGAACTTCTGTATGCTCCAAACCAAATTTTTAAGATAGAAATTAAAACTTATGAAGCCCAATTTCTGTGATTCTCAGAAGCAGCAACTGCCCACCTTGATAGCTTTCAATTACTACTCATTTAAAGATACGAAGTTTGTTTAAAAAGCTGTTGGTCACTTTGCAGTTAAAAGCATTTAACTAGATACTGATCTTCCAAAATGTCTTTGGCCTCTGTCACCTATCAGATTTAAAAAAAAAAAAAAAAAAAAAGGAAAAAAAAAGGCAGTAAGATTACTTTCCAGCAAGTGCAGTCCCAGTGGTTCTTAACAAGGTACAAAATCAGTTGATGGCTGAAAAACAGGAGGAGCCACAGGTACCTGGAAATATTTGACACCCTTTTTTCTGTACCTGGAAGCAAAACATTGTGCTGAGATTTTTGCTGGAGTAGAGTAAGAATAGTTACCTCATTTGTAACAAGGCTTCTGAAGCATAATGACAAACTGCACTAAAAATGGTATAATGTGTTTGAATTTCTTTAAGAGACAAATGGCAAGTTACATTTCATAATTAGATTTCCTCATCCCCAATAATAGCAGGTTTTTTAAATTAAAAATTGCCAAATTAATGTTACTAGATTTTACCCTTATTTTAGAGAGGGTAAATAAACTTATTCACCTTTGTAGTGTGTATATATACCATGTGTTGAGTTTTGTTCTCTTTGACCAGTTATCTCTAAGATTATGTTCAAACTCTTACGTGTTCCATTTTAAAGCATAATGAACACTGTAGTCATGCCAGTTAATTCTTAGTATCTTTGGTTGCGAGTTATGAACTTTGTTAGGATCTGTCTTTTGCCAGCTGCAGCACCAGCTTTTCATGTAGAGAGATGTTATTTTCCTTTTTGTAGATTATTGTGTGAATTAGCTTGATTAAAGCAACTAGCATAAAGAATGGAGTACACTCCTAACATGACCAGCTGCTGCAACTTTGTGTAACAAAATTCTGTATAGATCAATGGTCTGGTTGGTATATACATTCAGTCATATTACTCAACATGAAGATACCAAAATGCAATCTTGCATTTCTTAAGCTGTCTTCAAATTATTAGTTAATGGACTTTGAAGTATTGCAGTTATCCTGCATGGCAAGTTCTGCCTCGTTACTCTTCCCATCTCAATATATAGCACTAAAGAAAATTAAATTAATTAAAGGGGTAACTTTAAAATATATCAGTCTGTGCATAATAAATCTTGCATGGACACTCCCATTCAAAAATTAAGTGACTTTTGTTCAATTTAGTTTAGTTCATCTGAATTACTATATAGATGACCCCTGAGAGTGAGGAATCTCAAAGAAGGAATGGTTACTTACATTAAGGGATTTTTTAATTCTTTTTATTTGAGATGTGATCTCCATATGTATTCCATAATCAGCCTTCCTTACTACTGAGAGACAGTTATGTTCTTCTCTTTCTGTCTCTGGAAAGGGGACACAGTGACACCAAGGGCATAAGGGCAGTCTGAATACACACTCTTGGCCAAAAGAATCCAAATTCAGGTGCATGAGGACCCATGAATATTGAGACTGTAACTGATAGATATTTCGAAGAATCGGATATCATGAGGTAAGTAGCTGTTGTTTATTAACAAAAGAATCCATGGTTCCAACAACAGTTCTTATTGCTGCTGATTTTTGACGGGGTGTTTACTTTTATTTTTCTGTAATTTACAAATTTCCTGTTTCATCTCCTGCTTTGAAAGACAATACAAATCAAAGAGAACAGAAGGAGTTGCAATGCCATCAAGTGCAAACAGTAAACCTGATTCCTTTTTTTTTTTTTTTTTGAAAGGACAGAGAAGCATTTTCCATTAAAACTTCCTTACTATTTTTTCTGGTAAAACTTGGGTCAGTAAGCGTTACTGCATCAGCATTGCGTTATGGAAGTTGATAATCACCCTTAGTCCTGCATTTTGTGTAATTGCAAGAAAAATAAAGGCTCGCAATCAAAAGCCAAAATGTATTTGCTGTGCAAGTAACAATAGCAATAAAATTCAAAGTCTGCAACTTCTAGCATGTTGAGGGTATGGGGTGAAGCAAGAACTGTGCTTCCGGTGCAAGGAAGTGATCTATTTCAGAGTAACCTATGCATGTTTCAGATTTAGCACTAATTGGGATAGAATGTGACATTTACTACTCGCTCCTGATGTCTTCCAGTACTTAGCATTTCTTTGAAACAGCTGAAATGCTCTGTCAGTCATTGAAACTTAACTCAGCAGGGTAAATGGAGAGCAGTGTAAGCTGCTTTCTTTTTTAATTATTTTTTAAATTTTTTTTTGTTTTTTTGTTAGTGATTAGGTCTTATTGAAACAATAGTTCTTAAGTGCTTTTTTTATCCCTTTAGCTTCTAGTATATCCATTCTCTTGTTCTTCTACTTAAGCTTCATTTATGGCCATTTTCCTCTCTGTATTTTTAGATTTTTTTTTTTCCTTGTGAGCCATTCCTAGTTCTGTCATTTTTAGTCTACATCATAATTCCTTAAGAGACATCCAGAGGATGATGGACATTATCTTGTATATACACATTGCACATCTCCAAATGTAGCTATTACTGAGGATGGTTTAAAAGCATGGGCAAATAATGAAACATTAACAGAATAAGTATATGTTTTCATTTCACGTGCTTTGGTAGATAAATTCTTGGCTTAAAACTTGATTGTCCTGAAGTCTACCTCATTCTCTGTTGAAGGTTACTTCTGTCACAGAGCTGGCAGAAAGGAAGGACTGTTTGTGCCTCAGGCACAATGCAAAACCTCGTGTATGTGGACACAGTTCGCATAGTGTGCGATTCTCTAGTGAAAATTCTGGCTTAACTAGTCTCTTATTACTTGTTCCCACTGGATTGTGCCAAACTGTTTGTATCACCACGTTATGAACCATATCAAGGAATTAATCTGATTGAAACTCTTTCCCCCATGTTATTTTTCAGCCTGATAGTTCACCGTGGAGCCACAAGAACAGCTGTGTTGGTACAACAGTTCACAGTGTGAGGGCAGGATGATTTAGCAAGAGTGGAACTGCTTAAGAAACATCCCATCGCTGCCTAAAACTAAAATCACCCACGAAGCTAACATGCTAGATTAACTGCTGTCATTGTATGTGGTTCTGTCTGTTGGACTTCAAGGAGAGTGGTAAATTCTGGCAGGAAGAACTGCTGAGAATGATCATATGGTAAATTATTGCAGCAAAATTTGCCAAAAGGTCATCACTTTCATTTTGGGCTGTCTGTTCAGGCGAGGCTTAATGAATGATATATGTGGGCTGCACCAACCAATGGAGCAACAGAAATTAGCGGGCTCTTTCTTACTTACATACAAACTAAGGACCCTGAGGTCAATGCTTTCATAATGTTAAAACTTGTTAGCATGGTAGAGCTAAGGAAGTGGGTAAAATATTAAATAAGAGTTTGATGAGGCAGTAGAAGGGTAGATGCATCTTGGCAAAATACCGCTAAGGAAGGGAAGTTAAACAAAAAAGCAGGGATTACAAGTTTTGGGTCTTGCTCTCCTAGATTCCAGTAGCTGGAATCCTGTTGGCACTGCCAGTGGCAAGTTAGATTAATTCTGGAAGCCTGGGGTGAGTGAAGAGGCTCCTTATGTGTATCATTTGCACAACAGAAATGCACCTGATAATACCTTTATTTAAAAGAAAAAATAAGTTACCTGTTCCAAATACAGTTTAATAGTTTGGAAATTTTAATTAATAATCTGGTCCTAGAAAATGTCAAGATCATGTTTTCTTTCTAGTAATTAGGTCTGCTGGATCTGTAGCACTCCCGTCTCTCAAGGCCTATTTTAACCTGGGTAATGGGGGCAAAGCCCTCTTGCTTGGCATCCTCTGAAGTGTACTTGTTGCTGACTGAAAGATGCTGAGCATGATGATGTTGCTTACAAATATGCTATGAAAATTATTCATGGTGGGGGTTTTGCCATCGCTGCCAGCGATGGAGGATCTTCTTGTCCCTGATGTTCTGCCGTTTGGTTGGTTTTACTTAATAACTCTTTCCTTTGCTACAGCATTGGACAGGACCCTGTAGTGTCTCCACTCCTTCATTTGGTTTGATATTCCAGTAAAAGAAAAGACCAGTCACGCTTTCCAGAGACCAAAGAAACTGACGATTTCAGCAGAGGAGATGCAGAAGTACATAGCTGCTGCAGGAATTGGTATGTGACCCCGTCTTCTGAACAGTAGAAATGGCACCTGCATGCTCTCAGACAGGAAGACTGGGGTGGTGGTAGAGGTTACGCAGGCTTGTTATCAGTGTTGCAGCGCAGTATGAAAGGAGGGTGTCCGTATATCTTCATTTCAAATTGGATGTTTCTTGTTTGTGCTAACATGAACTTGGGGCTTTTACCCATGTTGGTGATAAGATTTTTCTCTGAGGGTTCACAGAGGGTTTGCATAGACAAAGAGTGCCTGTGTGGGAATTATATTATTTATGACAAATTAACATAAGCTAATGCCAGATAAGTCCTTTATGGACAAGCTGTGTATGTCTGAAAACCTGTTGCCTCCTTTATTGCATTGTTTTTATCACATCACAAACAGAACAATAATATAAAATTTGTATTTCGTAAGCCTCTCATAAATTGAGCAATTCTAACACATGCTATATAACTGAGTGTGGTGGGTTAACCCTTGCTGGAGGCCAGATGCCCACCAAAGCTGCTCTATCACTCCCCTCCTCAGCTAGACAGGGGAGAGAAGATATAACAAAAGGCTCGTAGGTCAAGATAAGGATAGGGAGAGATCACTCAACCAATTTCTGTCACAGGCAAAACAGATTCAACTTAGGGAAAATTAACTTAATTCATTGCCAATCAAACCAGAGTAGGGTAATGAGAAATAAAACCAAATCTTAAAACACCTTCCCCCCCGTGCCTCCATTCTTCCTGGGCACAGCTTCACGCCCGAATTCTCTACCTACTCCCAGCAGCAGTGCAGGGGGACGGAGAATGGGGGTTGGGGTCAGTTCATCACACGTCATCTCTGCCGCTTCATCCTCCTGAGGGGCAGGACTCATCACTCTTCCCCAGTTCCAGCATAGGGTCCCTCCCACGGGAGACAGTCCTCCACTAACTTCTCCAGTGTGGGTCCTTCCCACGGGCTGCAGTTCTTCACGAACTGCTCCAGCATATGGGTCCCTTCCACGGGGTGCAGTCCTTCAGGCACAGACTGCTCCGGTGTGGGTCCCCCGCAGGGTCACAAGTCCTGCCAGCAAACCTGCTCCAGCATGGGCTCCTCTCTCCACAGGGCCACAGGTCCTGCCAGGAGCCTGCTCCAGCGCGGGCTTCCCACGGGGTCACAGCCTCCTTTGGGCATCCCCCTGCTCTGGCGTGGGGTCCTCCCTGGGCTGCAGGTGGATATCTGCTCCACCGTGGACCTCCCTGGGCTGCAGGGGGACAGCCTGCCTCACCATGGTCTTCCCCACGGGCTGCAGGGGAATCTCTGCTCCAGCGCCTGGACCATCTCCTCCCCCTCCTTCTTCACTGACCTGGGGGTCTGCAGGGCTGTTTCTCTCACATGTTCTCACTCCTCTCTCCGGCTGCAGTTTCTGTGCCTGGTGCAACTTTTTTTTTTTTTCCTTTCTTAAATCTGTTATCCCAGTGGCACGCACTACCACCGTCGCTGATGGGCTCAGCCTTGGCCAGCGGTGGGTCTGCCTTGGAGCTGGCTGGTATTGGCTCTGTCAGACATAGGGGAAGCTTCCAGCAGCTTCTCACAAAAGCCACCCCTGTAACCCTCCTGCTACCAAAACCTTGCCACGCAAACCCAGTACACTGAGATTACATATGGACTGCAGCTATGCAAGTTGGTTCATGTTATCTTTCCAACATGTATATGGTGTTCATTTTCAAGATGCATGTAAGTTCTTGTTAACATGTTAAACAGAGTTTAAGTTTTGCATGAAGAAATCTGCTTATGGTCACTTCCATGCAATACAGTGAATCAGAGGGGTATGTTTTTGTTACAGTAAGAGCTTGTAAAAGAAAAAAGTAACCTGTACCTCCATTTTCTTTTTGAAGTTTTGCTTTATCTTGCAGTGAGATGGGCCCCACTTGTGTTGATACTGTGAAAACATGAAAGATGTCTAGATGCATTTTCCCAGTTTTACTTAAGGCTTCTTAGTTTTTGAATGTTTGGAGAAGTTTTAGCCTTTTATACCAGTTACACATGTTGAATCTTATTGAGGGAGCTTTCTTCAGGAGTTCTAAGTAACTATTATTTACAGAAACTAACAGAATAATTAAATTAGTTTGAAGAAAAATAGTCTTAATCGGATATGAAGTACTTGATACCTTTCTCTGACATATATGTATTAGCTGTATGTCAAGAGATTATAACTTGTCAAGTTATAGTCAAAGAGAATATAAAAGTCAAAGAGATGATGACTTTTCAATGAGTTGTTCCTTAGGGAGGAGAGGTAAAGCAGCCATTCCTTCGCTTTCTCTTTCATGTGCCTTCAGCTCCCTGTGAGCCAAACCTTTGTCCCAGTGACCTCTGCCACTGCGTGGGTGAGGTAGGGAGCCTCTCCTTACAGTGCTTTCACAGTCATTAGTATTCCTGCTTTAAAGATCCAGTAACATCAGACTGTTATCCCACATAATAACCTTTTGTTGTTCATAGTGCAACTTTTTGTAAGAGGGGCCAAACAGAGGTGCAAGGGGAAAATATGTTCTATATATTTTTTGCTTTTGCTTTTCCTGCTCTAATTAAATGAGGAGTTGAAACTAGTTGACTAAATCTTCTAATTAAATTGGGGTTAAAACTAAATTCTACTGATTCTAGTTCAGGGTTGAGCATCCTGTATTTTATTGCTTAACTGAGAATTTTTCTGATGTTTTCTGTTAAAAAAAACCCCCAGCCTATCTAAGGGCAATACGAGAACACTTCTGTCACTAACTCTGTTCCAGCGGCAATTTTAGACGTGGTTCCTGCTGTGAAGGAAAGTGATGGCACGAGAGAATTGCTGCAGATGCAAGAATTTGTGCAATTACATAGAATTTGTTCACTGATGCTCGCTACCTTCAGTGAGAAATCCCAGGAGCGACCGTACCTCTTTGTTTAGCAAACACCTGCTCCTAGCTGACATTTTTCCGTCTGCTCGAGCTGTGAGGAGAATTGGGTTTAAGCAGTGTGTTCACCTCGTCACTGTTAGCACCGTGAGGACATATTCCAGTGGCGCACGCCGAATTCTGTCTGCTAGAAACCCTTCAGCGTTTGGTGTTTCAGTAGAAGCCTTTTACGTGCGTTTGGTAAATCTGCACAGAAACCGCACGGACTAACCGTGCGGTTTTGTTTTGGTGGTTTTGCTGTGGCCGTGGGACCCCGCTGCCCAGGGCCTGGCCGCGCGGAGAAGGCGCCGTCGCTGCCGGGGCAGTGCTGCCCCCTTCCCGCCCTCCCCGTGAGGGGCGAGCGG